GACTACTGGCTGTCGTCAAGCTCAAGATGCGAGCAACCGCAACAACAACTGACGATGCCGAACTGGCAAGGCTGAAGCTGATTCATCGGTGCTTTCCATCGGACGGCTCAGCAACGCACGGTTATTGCAGCAGTCGAGGTCAAGGCGCAATGGACCCCCTCCCCGAACGACGCCACCTGAACTATTTGCGGCGGGAGTAGCGGTGGGATGGAGAAGGAACTTGTACGATGTACATACATGTAGTATGGCATGTGCTCCGTAGACCAAGGAGAGCGAGCTTGTGCTCGTATTTTGGCACCAGTTCGATTACGGCAGACTAGAGTAGTATCGCATGCCTGAGAGGGAAGGGGAAAAAAAAAGGAGGCCGATCCATGTCTCGGTTTGAGCAGAGCTTCAGCGTCGATGAAACGGGAAACGAAAAACATTGGGCACAGCCACTGCTGGATGGTCTGAGACTACACATTCGTGATGGGAGGAGAAGACTGCTCGTATTATGACTGGAAGACGAGCCAGACGCAAGAATACAAAGGGCTTGTCGGAGAGTGAAGACGCATTCCAGCCGTGGTGTAAGTGCTGAGGACGGAGCACAGGGTACAACGCGCAAGTACCGCTGAAATGAGCGTCTGCGGTGTTGACGGTGTGTGAGTGCCAATAGCGGCACCTTGGCGACGCCCCCGTAATCTCACGCCTTTGTTTCTGCAGTACTTGTACGAGACTTGTATGGACACCTGATGCTTCGTACGGAGAAGCCTAGCAGAAGCTGCTGATGGTCTGCGTATTACGGGCATTGCCGCTTCTGTGCGCTGCTGCTGCTGGGGCCAGAGGCCAACCCAGGGCAACACGTGCGATCCGATAGGAAGACATTCTCATTTCACGAAAAGAAAAATAGAGGATGGAGTGAATCGGAGCGGAAGCCATTGGCTGCGGCTTTGCGTGCGATAATGCCGTGCTCCGTACCTGCAGCAATATATTGGCCCCCCCAGTTGCATGTCTGGATATGTGCGTCTGCGTCCAGTCCTGCAGCTGGCATTTGAAGTGTGTTCTTGATGTTGCACATGCCTCAATGCGCAGTGATTGGGCGAGAACGGCGATGGATTCGATGGGCCATGCAGGAGACACTGTGCGCGCTTCCGAGCACAGCAGTAGGACCACGTCCAAGCCCGCGTACGATTGAATTCTGCTTCGTACAGGTCCAGGTACAGTACAGATGCCGTTAAATGAGCTGAATTTGCGGTGCATGACTATTGGATTATCCGCTGGTCTGGAAGGTGCCGGATGATCTGATTTGCATGAATGACTGCCTGCTTAGCGGCTCGCTTGCGTCGAAATGAAATCTCAAGAAGCAGGAAATGATCTGCGGCGTCGGTAAGGTAGAAAGATGGTCGTGATGGAGTCGTACAATACAGAGGACAGGATGCTGTGCTGAGCTTGGCAGCTCCATTGGCTGTCTCCGATACCCACCAGCAGCACCGCTGAGTAACAGTACCGGTGAGATGCTGCAGGCACCGTGCAAGGTACCAAGTAAGACAGCCAAGCAGCTGCGTCTTTTCCTTTCGGCCAGCAGGATTCGCAATCCCGCTGAATCTGAATCAGTTCCAATGCTCGATGGCGCGCATCCAGCCTCGTTTGCCGTCTGTTAGCGCCAGGAACCGGTTGAGCTGTCGACGCTAAGCCCGGTGTCAACTGGGAGCTTGACGATGGCCTGCAGAAAGGGTCGAGCCAGAGCGATGAATCAGTGCCAACAACGGCGAGCCTGAAGCAGCCGGCGACGGGAGTGCGCGGACAACTAGTATATACTTGAACTCGTCCGCTCGAAGCACCTGAACAGAAAACGATGGACCAGCCGAAAAAGCAAGCAAGTCGAAACGGAAAACCGGGGTTGCTGAAGAGTCTCTCGTCGCCCATCGGCTGCTCTGCGGCTAGGGCCACGCAGCCCATGTACCTCGCCATACAACGCGCCGCGTCGGGGTACTTCCGACAACACGCACAGCACCCCCCCGGTCGCCGATATTAAAGGCACGACGCCAATCCGACCCCGAGACGAAGCTAAGGCTGCTAGCGCCCCCTCCTTATTGGCCCAGGAGCCCTTGGAAAGCCCTTCCGGGCCGCCCAGGGGTTCGTGCGGGCTGCGCAGGTACCGCTCGGGTCACTCTTTGTCGCACATCAGCACGAGGGCACGAGCGCTGCCCGCGCTGTGAGCTGGGGTGCCAGATGCTCCCTGTCTTGGCTTGGGTCAAGTGCGATTACAGAGGCCAGAGAAGAGAGAGAACGAGAAGTACATACGGGTACTTGGTCATGGCTAACACTGGTAGGGCAGCTCCAGGAACGCTGCGCTCCACCGGCAGGCATGCGAGGGATTTTCGACAAATCGCTGCGAGCTCTACAACTGAATCCCACGAACAGCCACCAGAAGCTTCCAGTTCGTGTAAGTGATTAGGCGACATACGAGTATATCAGCATAGCATCATGTCCCGTGAGGCCGTGTAGGATGCATTAGCTGACATGTCGTGAGCTCCTACTGCTTACCTTGCCTTAGCTGCTCTCGCTGTGGTGACTTACAGAATATTGATTGATGGTGTTGGACAAAGGCACCACACCAAGCTTGAACGTGTAGCGGTCAGAAAAAGTGAAAGAAACTGCAGCCACACCTCGCATTTGCCGTGTAAGCCAAAACCACCTCCGCTGAATCGAAAACCATGGCGTCTGCTTGTGGCAGGCGACGCTCTTGGCTCCGTCGCACGGCATGCCATGCCCTTCGCCACCTTCGGCAATGAGCTCGACCAACTTTTCTTTCACGGCAATCCGAGGAACGGGGATTTGATCGGTAGGTGGGCAGAAAAGAGAGAAAGAGCGCTACAAGAAGAAAAGAAACAGACTCGTCCAGGCTTGTTGGTGGCAGGCAAAACTGCGGCGGTACCTGGGCGGTACATCGGACGCCCTCGCCCGTTGTCGCCGCCGCACCAGCATCTAAAAAAAAATCACCCGTAGCGTGGGCCGGTGGGGCTCTAGCCAATGGGGCAGGATGGCGCTCGTTTTACCCCTGGCCCGCCCTGATGGATCGGTACCTGTCGCGTGTTGAGAAGCAGCGCAGCGAACGGGAGCGCTCCGTAACGCCAGCTAGGTACCGCGCTATTGGCGGGCGTCTGGCAGCCCACACGCGTGCGACCATGTGCTGGTACCAGGCCCGTTTTGGCGGGTGCAATTTCCAACCCGGACAGCACAGTGGCAGTGCTTTTTACTCTTTGCAGACTGACGACGCATGAATCAAAGCGTTTCTTTGACATGCCGTCCCATGGGAAGCCGCTCTGGTTCTGCAGACAGGGAATGCCCTGCGAGCTGCTGGTACAGCAGGTACTCGTACTTGCTTTCTCTTCTGTCTTGACTGACTTGTGCCTCGTACCTGGGAAACAATCGCAACTTGCGGCTGCCGCTGACGGTACCTGAGGCGCCGCCGGCTCGCGCACGCTGGCGGCGTGTACTGCGGCCCCTGCTGACGCCGTACCGGGCCAGGCATCGCGACGTTGGCTGGCATTCCAACCCCCAGCCGTCGTGTGACATCGGGGGCCTGGACGAAGGCCCTTGACGCCTCCTTCTCGCGCCAAGTGACGAAGCGAACACACGGTGCAGCTCCAGCAATCCAGGCTCACCCCAAGCACGAAAAAAGACCGAGCAAACGGACAGCAGGTCCTGCTGCTGTGCCCTTGAAACCCTGTGGAGAGCTGCCGCTGCATGTACCTGCGCATTCCCTGCCACCCACTCGCTGCACTGCAGGCCCTTTCAGGTTTGTTGCTCGCATTTGCTGTCGGCCCTCGTACCGGTACTCGCCCGCCCGCAGCAGCCCCGTACCTCGCGCGCTGCGTCTCCGCCGGCGGCTACCTTCCTGGAACGTGCTGGGCGGTATCGTGACGGTCGGGCCTTCTGCCACGGGCGCTAGAAGCCTCCCGCCTGCACAAATCTCTCCTCTCTCCTCGTCTCCTCGTCCTCGTTTCCCTTCCCCTGCCAGAAATACCACACCCCCTGGGGGCCCTTGTCCACTCCAGTCCAGTCTTGTCCTGTCCAGGCCTGGCCGCTGCTTGTGTCGCCCATCCATCCACTCGCTGTCTCTCGTTTTCCTCTGGCGCCATCTTCACGGCCTGCGTCTTATTTTCCTCCCTCCTCCTCCCGCCCTTCCCATTCTCTCCCCCCCTCATACCATCGCCATCCCGCTCCTTCGACAACCCTCTGCCAGGCGACCGTGGTTCCCCCTTCGGCTCTCGACCCAGCGCCGCCCGCGCGTCAACCGCCCTCCGTCGAGACATTCGGTTTATCTGTTCTTTCATGACTGAATGACTTTGGGGCCTCGGGAGGTTCTCGCGATTCTACACCCTCGTTCGATTTGATCTCTGCGGAACCCCAAAGCAGCTGCCACAACGCTCGCCGCTCTGCGATTTTCCGGTGACGGACGCCATATGACGATTTGATTCAACAATCACGACGCTCGTTTACTGCTTTTTTGATTCGTCGCACATACGCTCCGGCACAGATAAAAATGTGAGTTGGACACGAGAAAGCACTGGGTGGTTCGACGGAGATGGTTCGCTGGGACGGAAACAGCAAGAGCGAGGGAAGAGACGGCATGGATGAAAATTTGGTTGCGCGCAATGGGTGTCATTTGGCTGGTCATTGTGTTCATCTTATTAGCCCTGATGGGTTGGGCGACACGAAAGGTGACAATGGCCGGTTGGATGACGCAGAACCGTTCAATTGGAGACCGGATGACAATGGGGTGTAAACGGCCTTTGAGAAGCTCTGCTAACATGGTGTTCCAGATAAAAGACGCTCATTGACATTTTGTCAAGTACATTCGTTGAATCTGTTTCTGACAGTGAGCTATTGTCCAGTCGACAGCTTGATTGCAATTTCTCATGACAGTCGCTGACCATAGTTATAGTATAATTGCAACAACATAAAACCACACTCGTTCGCCACGGGGATATATACATTCATTACCACAAATCACCATGCAGTCCAAATCGCTCGCTTTGCTGGCCGCCCTGGCCGTGTCCGCGGCCGCCTCTGGGGCTGAGCGGCCCCGGATCTACTACCCTCACAAAATCAGGCGCGACCTCATCGGTTCCAACTCGACCATCAGCTCCACTTCCAGCAGCGTCACAACCGCTCCCGGAACCACGACCAGCAGCTCGACGTCGACTTCGTCCGGCCCGGACCTGGGCGCCATCATCTCCGGCCTTCTCGGAGGGGACCACTCCACCAGCTCAACCAGCTCGAGCATCTCTACCAGCTCGACCAGCTCGACCAGCTCGTCCGCCACGACCAGTGCATCATCGAGCAGCGCTTCCGAGTCCAGCTCCTCGACTTCGGGCAGTGTGACGACCATTATTCGATCAAAGACCATCATCGTCACCCCCACGCCCGAGGGTACCGGTAGCACTCCGATTCCCTTCAAGCCTCAGAAGTCTCAGACCAGCAGCTCCCTGGCCCAGACGACGCCCGCCGACACCACCTCGAGCCCGACTCCCTCTGCTCAGTTGCCCGCTTCTACGCCATCGTCTGCCACGTCGCCTTCCGAAACGCCTGCTGGCTCGTCTTCTGCTGCTGCTGGTAGCTCATCTTCCGCTCCCGCCGCTGCCTCGTCGTCCGCTGCTGCTAGTAGCTCGACTCCTGCTGGAACCCCTGTCCAGTCCACCTCGGCCCCTGCCGTAACCAGCTCTCCCAGTGCCTCCTCGACTGGCTCTTCTGGACTGGACATCAGCCTGGGTCTCAGCCTTCCCCCCCTCCTCGGCAAGAGCTCTTCCACCACGTCTTCTGCGGCGAGCTCTGTCCAGACGGCTCCTCCCCAAGCGACTTCTTCAGACAGCAGCGCCCAGGCCTCGTCTTCCCAGGCCACCTCGAGCAAGGCTACTGAGACTGGAATCGTCATTGACCCTACTGGCGTCCGGTTCCCCTCGACAACCGCTCCTCCGGCCCAGACCCAGTCCAGCAGCAATGCCCCGGGCTCACCCAGCAGCGGCATTGCCGATAGCAGCAGCGTCGTGGGCAACTCCACCGAGGCTGATGTCAGTTCTTCTGCGGCCAAGACGTCCTCCTCGGGCGGTGGTCTTCTGGACCCCATCTTGACCATGCTGGATCCCTCCAAGACCACCTCTCCCGCTGAGTCCACGTCTGCCCCTGGAACCTCTGCCCCCGCTACTTCTGGGCTGCCGGTTCAGACTTCCCTCCCCGGCACTGGGTCGGCGACGACGGCTGCTTCCTCACAGACCAGCTCTCCCGGCGGACTTCTGCCCAGCTTGTCTCTGCCTTTGACCCTGCCACCGGTGCTTCCTACGGGAACGTCGTCTCCGTCTCTGTCTCTGCCTCTGACCCTGCCGCCTGTGCTCCCTACGGAGACGTCCTCTGTTGCCACGTCCAGCCCTGCAACCTCGCAGGATGGATCCAACGTCACTTCTTCCGAGCCGCCTTCGACCACTCCTGGGCTGTCCATCTCCATTTCCCTTCCGCTGCCTCCCCTCACGACTTCTGACGGTGGCTCGGTCGTCAACTCCACCTCCAGCGAGCCTCCTGTCACCGGTTCTGCGACCGTCACCAGCCCTCCCACAGGTACCGCTACAGGTGCTCCCACCGGCTCGGTGACGGATGTTCCTGTTACCAACGGCACCAGTTCGGGTGAGCCAACCGGCGCGATTACTTCGGCCTCCGCGTCTGTCACCGGCCCTGCTACCGCTACTAGCTCTGCTGTCGAGACCGGATCGGCAGGCAACTCGTCCAGCGCTGCTGAGACGTCTGCCCCCGCGACTGGAACGTCTGCCGCGACCTCTGCTCCTGCTGCTACCAGCGAGCCGGTGGCAACCGGTTCACCCTCCACCCTCGTGACCATTTCCAAGCCTTCCTCTCCGGTCGTCACTGTTCCCCTGGTCACTCAGACGTCGAGCGCAGAGCCCATCACGAGCATTCGACCCACTGCCACGCTGACCAACACTGCGGACTGGCTGCCCACGACCATTGTCATTGAGCCGACCACGATGGCCTTCACTCCTGTGACCTCGTCCCAGAGTGCGTCCACCTCGACGGCCCTGCCGACCAATGTTCCCAAGATCATCTACCCCGATGACCCCAACACTCCGGCTGCTGAGGGCACTGTCCCCATCCAGATTGGATTCCTGTATCCTCTCAACTACATGTTCGTCGCCAGCAACACCGTTGCCGCCGCTCAGATCTTCAAGTACCTGCCCCAGGCCCTCGCCACCGCCGCCGGCATCGATGTGGCGAAGGTTCAGGTCGCCAAGCTTGTCCCCTACGACACCCGTGCCCAGTGGGGTTATGTTACCACCCTCGCCAAGATCAACTATCCCCAGAACCTGATTGACAAGCTTCAGCTGGACATGTCGGTGGCCAACTCGCTCATCTACAACAACCCCGACCCCATTGTCCGCAACCTGACGGCCCTGATCAACCCCAAGATCAACATCTTTGGTCAGCTCACCGACGGCGGCTCTACCGACGGCGCCGATGGCTCCGACAGCGGCAGCGGTGGTGCTCCTCCTGCCTCTGGCTCTGCCAACAACGATGCCTTTGGCACCAGCAACACGGACAACCAGAGCTCCAAGCAGAAGGCCACCACCGCCGGTATCGCGGTGGGTGCCGTTGGCCTCGGTGCCCTGTACGGCGGTGCCATGTTCATCATTGCTCGTCGCTACAAGCGCAAGAAGCAGGCCCACCGCCGCACCAGCTCCATTGGCAGCAGCCAGCGTTCTTCCGGCATGCAGTATGCCGGCAACGGAAGCCCTGCCCTCATGGGCGGCGCTCTGATGAGCCGCGACATGTCCAGCTACGGTGGAACGGGAATTCGCGACAGCCACAACAGCGGAACCAGCTCTGCCCGGACTGCCAACATCTCCCACCCCGTTGCGGCTGAGAACTCCCTTGGCTGGAACTGATGATCTACACGCTTTTGTATCGGCCATTTTCTTTTTCTTATTTCAAACACCATTTTATTTGTTTTCCTTTTGGATATCCGCGCATCATATTTTCCTTATTTAAACTTCGATACCCTTGGGGGAGCTTTTGCTCATGAGGATGTAGGACGATACCTACGACTTTCTTGATGTCTTGGCCAAGCCGACTGGAGGGTTTTGACAAAAGAAGACCAGAAAAGAGAAACGAGAAAAGGCAACTCCCCTCTCCAGTCCCGCTTGGGGCCTCCTCCTCCTCCTGGTAGTTTTCAGTCCAGCATGCAGCCGAGTGTTATCCTCGACCGCTGACCACTCCTCCCAATTTTACACTTACGCCGATCACCTGTCAAACCCAAGAAGAACAAGAAAAAAAGGGATGGTGCCAATCTTATTGCTTCTCCTTCTTCTGGCCCCATCCTGGTGACGTTGGCATTTGCTTTTTAATATTCTTAGCCTTGTCTGGAGTTGGAATGAGATAGATGGTCTTGTGACGATGCCTTCAGGGCCAGCGTTGTGCAACAACCTCTTGGAGTGATTTTTATTTTACTTTTTATTTCTTTTTGCTTGCAAAAATGGAGGTTATGGAGGGAGAGAGAGAGAGAAAGAGGTGGATGGTGATGTGGCGGTGTCCTTGGGGTCACATATGTCAGCTAGCATCGAGTGTGGGGATGCAGGAGGGGAGAAGTGGGAGGGAGATGGAGTTGCGGTAGGTTGAGATAGTGGTGAAAGAAGACAATGTTGACTGTAAATGGACTCTACCTGTGGTTGTGAATGGAGGGAGAAAGGGGGGATGAGAAGGTTATGTTTAATATGACAATAAATTTGGTAATTGAATATGATGCCGGTTACACTGTTTTCCCCTGCCTGCTGATTTGTGAAGATCTTTGGGCTGAAAGAATGAAATCGGTAAGGAACTGACCGGATAGCTGTGTAGCCAGCCAGCATTTGGTGTGAGGGTGATTTATGGTGTATCAGATGCGGGAGTGCAGGAGAGCCGTGGTATACAAAAAACAATGCCATGTGTTGAGCTTGGCCTTGAGCTTGAGTCGACTGTTGCTCCAAGGAGATTCAATCTTACATACCTTAGCTTTTTAAGATACTAGTACTTTAGGTACGGCCGGACGGGCCGCTTGGTGCTGCTTATTCCTCCGCCTCCGGTTCCGGTAGCAGAGAACGACCTCCTTGTAATGTTAGGGTTGAAGTAAGGTATATGAGTATTTGCTGCTAGAGGTTATGCTTTTGCCATTGACTTTGTATTTGTGGTGAGACTCCAGTTCCAGTTGTCTCTTGTTGATTTAATCAGGTTAAACTGTAACGGTTTTGGTTATTATTCGCTTTTGGTCGTGTGTGTTGAAGGGGGATTATCCACCTTATGCTTGATGGCTTCGATACGGAGTACGGCGTGCGTGAATTGCCGGAGTCGACGGATCAGGGTACGTCTTCTTTTCCCCCTTTCCGTTCATTCTTCTCCCCCCCCTTTTTTTCTTCTTTGTTTTCGACTTAATATATCAAGTCGTTTCTTGATCGTTACTACCAGAGGGGTGCAATCTCATGGGTCGATGCAATAGTGCAATGAAACCAAGCCGCGCTGTGCGCAATGCGCGCGGGCAGGGCTATTCTGCTGGGGGTATAGAAGCCGGACGGAGGAAGTGCGGTTTGTGAATGTCATGATGACGGGGAAGGAGATGATGCACCAGCAACGAGCCACATCTCCTGTGGACGATGATGACGAAGGTGGTGACGATGGCAGTGAAGACGTGGGCCGCGGGTTGTCGTTGTTGTTGTCGCGAGCACAATCTTCATCCTCATCCGCCGTTGCTCCAGCAACGCAGACGACGATTCGACAAGACCAGCTGCCGCTGCTGCACCACAAGCTCTGCGTTCCCGCGGAATCGGTTGCCCAGGTGTTCTTTTTCCGGAGGTACGCCCTTGCGCGGGGTGGCGCCGAGACGCTGTACGCAGCGGCAGCGGCAGGCCAAGCGAACAACGGCTACTCTTCTTCTACCTCACCTGTCAAGATGCAGGGAATGCTCGCCGTGGGCATGGCCGGACTGGCGGTTTCCGAAGGGGGCGATGGGAGGCTTTTGAAGTTGGCGAGGAGGAGGTATGGGATTACGCTGCGGGGGGTTGGGGAGGTGATTGAAAGGGGGGATGGGGAGCGGGTTAGGGGAGAGGGGACGGTTGCGGCGGTGGTGCTCATGGGGATGTTTGAGGTGAGTTTTCATTGATATTGCCTCTTTCCATGGAGATTGCTGTCGAGGAGGGTTGATGGAGGATGGGGGATTTGGGCTAACTGGATGAGGTGGTAGATGATTGCGTGCCAGGATAGATCTTCTCTCGAGGCGTGGATATGGCATTTCCAGGGCGCTGCGGCATTAATACGGCATTGGACGCCGGAGGACTGGAAGAGGAGCGTGGATAGCACACGAGCATTCATTCACTTCTTTTATTTACTGGTAATGATGCCCTTCGAACAAGGTCACTTATACCGAATGATGGAAAAAAAGGTCAGCTAAAATTTTTGCTTCATAGGCCATGGGGTGTCTGATCAAGCAGGTGCCCGTCCCAGCCCACATCCGCGAGCTCGCCCGCTCTTGTCCCGCGTTTGCATCAGATGTGCATGTTGTACCGGCAAGGCTTCTCTTTGACATTATTTGTCGGTTTGCGGAGCTGTATTCTCTTGGAGGGACGGGCCAGGAAGAAGAAGTTGCGCAGTGGACGGAAAGAGTTTCTGCGGCTGTTGGTATCGAGGAGGAGCTTTGTTCGTGGGAGACGGGATTACCTGGCCTGTGGAGGCATACCGTCACCCTCGTGCAAGAGGGATCTGAAAAGGACGGATCTTCCCCTCGTCGGGATACTACTGCTATTCGGCATGAATATGCGTGTTCCTGGCAGGCATACGTCTGGAACCACTACCGCACCTGTCGGATCCTCGTCCACGCCGTGCTGCTGCGGTATCTCGATGCCCTCGCCTTGCCCGTTGCAAGTGCCCACCCGGCGCTTATGGCGGCGTATATCTCACAGCGGGACGCTTCGCGGACTGTTTTGTCAAAGACGATGGGTGATTTGCGCGCTGGCATGTCGTATGTCCTTGGGTTGTACGATGCAGGCAAGGGGAATGCTTGTTTGTCGCCTGAGACGTCGGGGGTGTTTGGGCTGCTGGGGGCGGTGCAGGCTTTGACGGGCGTGGTGGACGTTTATGGGGAGGATGGGGAGTGGTTGTGTGGGCTGTTGGACGGTATGGGGAGGAGATGGGGGATTGGGTTGGCGGTGGTTCTGGGGAGGGAGGTTGGGGGGAGGAGGAGATGAGGTGTGTTTGTGATGTTTTGCTGTCAGGACTCGTTTCTCTTATACTCTTTCCGCTCTCACTAGAGTATATCACAACCAGCTTTCTACTGTACATCAACATCCTCAAGATGCTGAGTGATGCACTCCCTTCCACCGTCAACCGCCCCCTTCACTGGGCAAAAGCCGACTTTCCATCCACGATATTGACAACCTCCCCATCTCGCACATACACCTCCACCCAGCCCACCGTAACCTGCATCTTGCCCTCCGCAAACATGTACGCCTCGTCCGGCTGCATCCTGACGGGGTACTCCGGGTCCTGGGTAGCCTTCCAGAGATCCTCGACGCTGCGCACCATGAACTCGATGTAGGCGTCGAAAGGGGCGACGACGGCGCCGACTGTTTCGGCAAGGGAGGTTGCTTGGTTGCGGATTTCCGGGGGAGTGTGATACTGCATTATTTTAGCTTTCATCTCTGTCAGGAGAATTGAAACTACACATGATGTGTGTAATTACGTGGAATAAGGGGGAACTTGTCATGAAGAGGAGGTTGAGTTGAAGACAAGCGACTTTTTACCTGAGCGTAGCCGATGATGCCGTTGCGGGCGAGCCAGCCCGACGCCAGCGGTGCGTGGTGCTCGGTCCAGTGTTTTTGGAATTGGGCGTCGGTGAGGTTGGGATTCTTGTATTGCATGAGGGTGATGCGGAGGAGTCTTTCTTTGGTGGCCATTTTTTTTCTGGCTTGCTGGATCTGGAGGTTGGTTTGCGTGGGTGTTGTGTGCGTTGTTGCTAAAAGAGTTGATGTCCTGGTTTCGGGATGATGTTGGACATGGCAGGGAGAGGCGGCTTGACTTTATACTTGGGGCCGAAGGTTGTTGTCAAGCAGATGAATGAGATTCTAAGTTCTTCGAATCCATAGTTGTAGTACTATCATCTGCGCTATTCTGCGAGTTCCATGTCCCGTTCTCGACTGCATCACCGATATTGTAGTATGGAGTAAGTTAACACGGAGGATACGCCGGGAAGCCGTTGACAAAGCATAGTATCGCGCTAAACTGCGAATTGGATTGCCGTTTTTGGAAAGTACCGTATGTACTTTACCTTAGGCGGGGGTCCACTGTGACATTGATGCTGGGGCTGACGCTGGCGGTGTTTGGTTGACTCGAGGAGCATTGAGAGAGTGATTACATGGCAATGCTCTGATAGATCCATTATTCTATTGATGGGTATGTAGTAGCGGAAAGCTGTAATATGCCTGACTCTCGAGCTGTAGCAGCCGTCAAGCATTTGTGTCTGCTTAGATGCTGGGTGGCCAAGTTGGTGTGCTAAATAGCGGCCTGGCTCCTTTTAACAACACTTTCGAGTTGTGAACAATGTAGAGACTGTGATAAATATTATATAAAGCCGTACGGTCGTCTGAATAATGAAACGTAGTTGCCAGATGACTGATCCAGTTTCCGGCAGGGCTCTAGGATGATGTGGTGTTGCTTGGAAGAGAGACTCTCTTGAGAAAACCCGAACCTGTAGAGATATTCTTTACTACTGTAGGTGCCTAGTGAACGCTTGACATCTCTTCGACCCATCGATACACCTTCCAGACCTCTATCTAATGGGATGGTCTAAAAGTTACTAAGCCAGGTCCTACGCCTACCTATCCACGTTTAGCGTAACATGACTGAAATACTTGAACATGCACCCCGGAATAAGTAGTAGAGTGATGATAGCAACTACAAGAGACATTACGTTGACATCATCAAATCTGTCAAACCAGCTGCCAGAAAGATAAAAGCCCAACGATAAGATCAGACACGAGACTCGTAGCCTTGACCGTGATACCTTCTCCATTGGACGTCGGTGAACCATCCTGCCAGAGCATATGAGAGATATTGAGAAGATTGTTAGACCATTGGCACGTTGACTCGCTGTTGTCTGTTCTTCTGCCGCTGATTGGTGGCCTTGCCTATGCCAATATGCCCATCCTGATGGGCATGTGAGGATCACGAGCAGCAACTGCATTGTTAGTATCAGCCTACCATTGAGTGCATCATCATTGCATGCAGTGAGAGTAGGTATAGCTGTGCCTCCAGGGATGTAGCTGAGAGTTACGGTACTGCATGCAAATGTCACCTTGGAATGCTGGCAGAGTCTCCAAAACCGGGATCCAACCCGCCTCCCACGACTCTCGTCTGTGAAAAGAAAGATTTAGCCATTTTCTCACCCCAGGTGCCAGCACCATCCATATTCTTCCGCTCAAAACCAACGCTTTCCAAGCTGCCTCTCATATGTGTCGACTTAACAAAGCAATCTGTCAAGGAACGCAAGTATAGGAGCGAGATTGATAATCTCATCAGGTGCTGGGGCGTTGCTGTACCAGGCCACGCTCTGTCTCCCAATGTCATCCAGCTGTCAGAAGGTCTGTCGACGGGTGGCTCGTCTTCAAGAAGCTGTCGTCAAGCGCAAACATCCACGGTCGCTTCTCCTTATTGGCTGTGCCCAAGAGCTGCATTCTGCAACTTATTGCCGTACTGGAATGCCTCCATCGCTTGGCATCATCCATGGCGACGAACACGCCGCCAACCTTCTATTTTCACACAACGGGGGGAGCGCCTCGTTGTTTGCCATCTCGAAAGCCGCTGCGGGGAGCGGGAGGCGCCTGAGGTCAATTTCCAAGGGTGGACCAGTATTAATTGATGTTGGAAACTACATCAATGTGATGTTTCATGCGAACGCTCGCATCACGCAATCTGTCGAATGGCCTGTCCACCTTTCTCCAGGCGATCGTTGAGACTTGCGTGCGCGGGGAACCGTCCAACATTGGTCGACTTGCATATCATTGCGGGGGAGATTCAGGCGTAAATCAAAGACCCATATGGCTCTTTGAAAGCAATGGTACATATGCTTGATATAAGAAACCGACCGTGGGAGCTCCTCACATTCCCAGGACCAACAGTCACACGTTCACGGTGCGTAGTTCAGTTGCGTGGCCCTTTGCGTAATGGCAAGTTGTCCAAGGCGGGCCCTATTGATCGTCAGGGTCCATGTCCCGAGTTCCGCGCCCGCATCGGCGATCCCGGCTTCTCCGGTTTCTTACCGGTCCATCTCAGATTTTTTCCACCCCTATGCGGGACACGTATGTGGCCAATGGCAGATGGGCAAATTTGGGCCGTTGAATAGGGCACGCCTGCCACGATAGTAATTCGACGGCAGGGCGGCAGTTGGAGACTCGGCTCTCCACGATTGACAGGCCGGGATCATGCATCGGCTTCACGGGTCATGCCTCTCGTTCCCAGTCCATACGCAGGTCCGGCTGTCGTAGGACCACCTATTTCTGCCGAGCCAGAGCCTCGCATTGGGGCATCTCACTTCCCTCTTATCCCATTGGCAGCGGCAACACAGCCTACAGCACGTCAAGATGCGGAAATAAAAGTTTTCACCAAAACAATGAGTTTCTTCGATCAATGGTTGGGTGCCACCGAAATGGTGTCATCCAGACCATGCGTGGCGTTGCACGCTAAAGCGGGATCCGTTGTCGCCCTGGTCTTCTCCGAACGTTGACAGGCCGAGTCGACTGCGTAACGCACGGGGCGGAATCTTCGAAACCCTTGTATGAGTAATGCTGGATGGAAAAGTACATCTCCCGGGCTCTGTGAGATTCTTTCAAGGGTCTAGCAGGGTCATTTGATGGCTTCTGAAAAGTCAGCACGTAGGCCAGAGTCTAGTGGCTAGACATTGGCATCTCATAAATAAGGGTTCGGCATGCAGTGACCACCGTTTCCAGCCGCTAGGAGTCGCACTTTGTGAAACGTTTGCTGGCGTAGATCCGGTATTGCGAAATTTGAACCACGGTCCACCTCATCAAGTGCCAGTCACGCAATCGATCTTGGGCCCTTAATCCAGCAGGTACCTCGACGTCTCCGGGCCCATACCCCACGACTCGTGGCATCATCGAGTAAGATATCTCGTGATTGCTCCAGTCCAGTACAGCCGTCTAGCTTAGCCGTCGTTGGAAGCTGAGACGAGTGCATCTGCGAGGCCCGGGCGGTGTAGTCCGTCCTCCGGCTTGGCCCTGTGTCACTTTGCAGCCAGCCACTGCGAATAAATACTCATCCGAGGTCCCCCATCCATCTCATTCTTCCCCCTTTCCTTCCTCTTTTCTTTCCCTTCATCATCAAGCCAAAGCGTTTCGAAAAGACCGATTTCGTCATCTCATAACAACAATTCCTGCTCCGAAACCACCAGCACATATCAAGTCGATCATCATGGCCGCCTCAGTCGAGTTGGTGCAGCCCGTCGAGGTGCCCTCGTTGCCAAAGGAGTCGACTCCGGTCATCGAGCTGAGCCCCTCAGACGAGGAGAGGTTCATCATCAAGTCGCCATACACGGATAGGGAACATCTCCTCGATCTGGACACCCTTTCGCATGAAGGTGCCCTGCTGGCGAGAGCCCTGCAGCGCCTGAAGTCAATTCGCGAGGACTATGCGACTGCACCTTATTCCGAGTCTTTCAACTGGCCCGAGGTTCTGGAAGAACTGAAGCGCCTGTCTCAGGAGTCCGGAAGGCCGTTCAAGGAGACCTCCTTCTACATTGTCGCGTTCCGGTCGCAGATCAAGCCGAGTACCGATTACGCCCACCTTGGCGCATTAGACAAGGCCGCCCATGCCGAAGCCGTTGCCAGCGGAGGCTTCCTGAAGTAAGATGGAAAAAACATCCCTGCCTGCTTCATTGAGTTTTGATGCTAACCAGATGCAACAGGTACTGGTTTGGTTCGCCGGACCCTGAGCTCAGAAACTTGGCAACCTGCGTCTGGAGATCGCGGGAGGACGCATTGGTTGGCGGCAGGGGACCGGCACACCGCAAGGCAGTCGGCGCCACGCGGAACATGTACGCCTTCTGGAAGATTGACCAACACCGCCTCACCATTCGAGACGACGTTGATGATTGGGTGCTTGAGGACTGGGAGTAAGATGGATCGACACGGTCACCGCTCCCGAGCAACTTTGCTTGGTTGGTCAGTTCTGGCTCCAGGCGTGAACAGACGAAGATGAGAAAAAATGGACTCGACAAAACAAGGGTTCGGAGGAGTATTCTGGGATTTGATTTGGGTCTGGAAAGCGTTTTGCGACGAAAGCGCGTATTTTTTCTTTCTTTCTTGTTTTGGGCATAAGATATCATGGAGGATAAGCGAGCGTCATGGTTGGGATTTCAAAAACAAAAGAACTGGAGCATAGAGTAGAAATAGACTGAATAATACTTGCGTAATCCGTCAACGAAACAAAGCCGCGGCGATGCGTGAACAATGACGGCGCGGCCACGGCATCGAGACTCCTGAATGCCTGGCACGTTGGTTGAAACTCTTGTGAGAGATTTGCGCGCGAAAATGAATGTGTCTGTATTCGTCTACTTATGGCTATGTCTAGAGTTGTTGTCGAAGTTGCGAACTGTCGTTTTGCGAGCTGGCGATGCACGGGTGAGTGAGTGACTGTTTGCTGAGTCGATTGCTGCTGGAGATGACATGCTGCTGAATGAAGAAGGTTTCATGTTGAGGCGTTCACAGGATGCGGTTGGCGGCTGCACTTTGGGCTTCCCCAAGGCCCCCTCCCATTCTGCCGCCGCTCACCGCCCGAACCCACAACGCCCACAAATCTGGTACGCGAGACGAAAAGTTCGATATTCCACCACCAGAGCGAGCGCTTCTGAAGCTGCCATCAATCAGCGCAATCCGGCGTCAACCTCGGCTCGAACGTCGCCACTCCTCTTCCTCGAACCCTCACGAACCATTTTCGAATCCGCCAAGATGAGCGAAGCTCCCAAGGATGCGCCTTTCCAGGCGGTGCAGATCGATGCTCTGGTGAGTGGGAGCTCGCGGTGCCCCACCTCGCGATGATGAGGGATGAGGGTGAAGCTTCAAGACTGACACTTGGCAACAACAGGTGATCCTCAAGATTGCCCGGCACTGCTCGTCGACCTTCCCGACCGTGGCGACCGGCTCCCTCGTGGGCATGGACCAGAACGGCACACTGGAGATTACAAACACCTTCGCCTTCCCCACCATCGACACCTCCGCTGCCGATTCCCACCAGAATGATGCCTCCAACCTCGCCGCCGCCGCTCCTCGAGCCAAGTCCAACATCGCCTACCAGGCCGAGATGATCCGACACCTCAAGGAGGTCAACGTGGACGCCAACAACGTCGGCTGGTACACGAGCGCCACCATGGGCAACTTTGTCACCATGGCCTTTATCGAGAACCAGTTCTTCTACCAGAAGGACAACGACAAGACTGTTGCCCTTGTCTACGACACCAGCCGCAGCTCGCAGGGAACCTTGGCTTTGAAGGCGTACCGCCTGACCAACCTCTTCATGACCGTCTACAAGGAGGGCAAATTCACAACTGAGAGGTGAGTCCCTTATCGGTGATGGGCGGCTTGGGCTGGACATGATGATGCTGACAATGTTTCGAATAGCCTGCAAAAGTCGAAGCTCTCGTTCCGCGACATTCTGCAGGAGTACCCTCTCGCCGTCCACAACTCACACCTCCTCACCTCCTTCCTTCACCAGCTGCCCGCGCCCCCGGCTGCCACCGAGCCCAAGGAGCCCACGTCGCTCAGCGACCTCAACAACGACCGCATCAAGGCGCCTCTATACCCTTCCATCGACAACCTGGACCTGTCGATTGACCCCTTCCTGGAGAAGACGTGCGATCTGCTGCTCGAGAGCATCGAGTCGCACTACGTGGACCTCAACAACTTCCAGTTCTACCAGCGCCAGCTGGCGCGTGAGCAGACCAAGATCACCCAGTGGCAGGCCAAGCGAAAGGCCGAGAACGCCCAGCGCACCCTCGCCAAGCAGCCCCTGCTGCCCGAGGACGAGTGGCAGCGGCTGTTCAAGCTGCCCACGGAGCCCAGCCGGCTGGAGGGCATGCTCAACGCCAAGCAGGTCGAGCAGTACAGCAAGCAGGTGGACGGCTTCACGGCCAACATCAGCTCCAAGATGTTTGCCGTGCGGGAGAACCTGCTGCCCCAGTAAGCAGCTGATGTTGGTGATATAAGTATTTCAAAAGAAGAAGAGAAAGCACAAGAGAAAAAGCGCTCTCGTTCGGTCTTTGGTGGGGAGGCAATTGGCGGCAGGGTGCATTGGCGGCGTTCCGGTTTGGGTGGAAAGTTAATCAAGTACTTCTGGTCTAGATCTGCAGCGACAAGAGAGTCATAAGAAAGTGTCTGAAACGAAGGATTTCTACGCCCTAGACTTGTATTTTCACTGTTAGATACCACTATTATTTTCTTGTTGCTTTGTTGGAAATCGGCCTTGTTCCTCTGTGTCAATGTATGTGCGTGTCTCCGTTCCTTTCGGACTCTGTCCATCTTTCAATTCTACATACCACATCTATCTTGATTGAACCCTGGTAGTATTTCTCTACTATATAAACGAACCGGCTGATAACAAATCTGACTTTGCATGGATTCGGGGCCTTTCTTCCAAGCCTGGCTGATGGTTGCGGGGAGTCCTGAAGGGGAAAAGCACCGACATCCATGAAAGTCCGATGCAGAGCAGATCAGCAGCCGGAGATGGAGTAAATAGTCGCCGTAAGACGGAAGCCGTCGACTGCCTTTCTACTCCGTACCTGGTATTACCTGGTAGTATCTATCTAGTATTTTGGTGTCAGTCCGAAGCTGCGTGTCAGATGGAGTGAGTGCGTCGTCGTCTATTGGGTCGGTCCATCGGCGGGGTGTAGCGGGTGTATTTCGTGCGTCCGAGTGTGTGCGTGTAACCATCTGCACCACCCATTGAGAGTGCGAGAACAGTGACTATATCGACCGTGATAGTACAGCGAATACCTATCAGATATTAGGGGTCCTCTCACTGGATAGTCTCATTGAGCTCAACCTTGATGGTCAGATAGCAATTGAGAGCTTCAGGCAGCTCTCGGTCCGCGCAAATGCCTCTCCGCGTCCCAAGTAATACCGCACGCCCAGGATTCCGACCCCCCGCCTGATGTGAGACGTGGCCCGGCATCCTGCTGCGGTTTTGCATGTGCCTCGACGCCCATCTGCAGCCGCTAATGCTTATAATCGGTGCCATTGGGATCCTCCCCAACAGACAGCAACGGCCATGCACTTCCAGCCGCCCTCCTCATTTGCTCACACTCCGTCCGAGGCCAGGTCGTGCCCCGCTTGGTGAGAAATTTTGCCCCTCTAGACACACCGCCCGCTTTTTGACGGGATTTCTCCCCCTCCTGCTGGCCTGAGCTACTGCTAGTACCGACTTCTTTTTATCTGGACAAATCCCCGTCTGATTTTTCTTCCTCTTCTTCCTTCTCCATCCCGCTATTCTCAACCACTATTCTTCCTTCTCCCTCATCTTTTCTCCTCCCAGTCAGCCGCCGAGTCTCTTCCTCAGCACCTCACCCTTCACCATGTCTGCTCCCGCCCACAAGTTCAAGGTCGCCGACCTGTCCCTGGCCGCCTTTGGCCGCAGGGAGATTGAGCTCGCTGAGAACGAGATGCCCGGTCTGATGGCCATCCGCCGCAAGTACGCCGGCGACCAGCCCCTCGCCGGCGCCCGCATTGCTGGCTGCCTGCACATGACCATCCAGACCGCCGTCCTGATCGAGACTCTGGCCGCTTTGGGTGCCGAGATCACCTGGACCAGCTGCAACATCTTCAGCACCCAGGACCACGCCGCCGCTGCCATTGCCGCCGCCGGCATCCCCGTCTTTGCCTGGAAGGGCGAGACCGAGGAGGAGTACAACTGGTGCCTCGAGCAGCAGCTGACCGCCTTCAAGGACGGCAAGAAGCTCAACCTGATCCTCGACGACGGCGGCGACCTGACTGCCCTGGTCCACAGCAAGTACCCCGAGCAGCTCAAGGACTGCTACGGTGTCTCTGAGGAGACCACCACCGGTGTCCACCACCTGTACCGCATGCTCAAGGAGGGCAAGCTGCTGGTCCCTGCCATCAACGTCAACGACTCCGTCACCAAGTCCAAGTTCGACAACCTGTACGGTTGCCGTGAGTCCCTGATTGACGGCATCAAGCGTGCCACCGATGTCATGATTGCCGGCAAGGTCGCCGTCGTTGCTGGATTCGGAGATGTTGGCAAGGGCTGCGCCATGGCCCTGCACGGCATGGGTGCCCGTGTCATCGTCACCGAGATTGACCCCATCAATGCCCTCCAGGCTGCCATGGCCGGCTACCAGGTCACCACCATGGAGAAGGCTGCCCCCATCGGCCAGATCTTTGTCACCACCACTGGCTGCCGTGACATTCTGACTGGTGTCCACTTCGAGGCCATGCCCAACGATGCCATCGTTTGCAGTAAGTTTGACTCTTACATCTTTTTAGGGGTACAATGCTAACAGATTCCAAAGACATTGGCCACTTCGACATTGAGATCGACGTTGCTTGGCTCAAGGCCAACGCCAAGTCTGTCCAGAACATCAAGCCCCAGGTCGACCGATTCACCATGGCCAGCGGCCGCCACATCATCCTCCTGGCTGAGGGTCGTCTGGTCAACCTTGGCTGTGCCACCGGCCACTCTTCCTTCGTCATGTCCTGCTCCTTCTCCAACCAGGTCCTTGCCCAGATTGCTCTGTACAAGAACCAGGACAAGGCCTGGTCTGAGAAGTACGTCGAGTTCGGCAAGACCGGCAAGCTCGAGACTGGCGTCTACGTCCTGCCCAAGACTCTGGACGAGGAGGTCGCCAAGCTGCACCTGGCCCACTGCCAGGCTGAGCTGACCACCCTGACCAAGGTCCAGGCCGAGTACCTTGGCCTCGAGGTTGAGGGTCCCTTCAAGGCTGAGATGTAAGCATCCTCTCGATTCATATGATTGATCTGCAACATGTGCTAACGAACTTCTTCACAGCTACCGCTACTAAGCACCCTCTTATGTATCATACTCTCAGGATCCTTCAACTGGACTCCTTCGCACAACGACATTTCTTCGGGATCTATGACCCGGTCATTGGGAAAACTTGTGATTTCAACAGCATCATGAACTGGCGGGGGGGCACATCTGGGCAGGGAAAATTCAAAAGCCCATGGGTTTTTTCGGTTTGATTTTGATTTGCTTCTTTGGTTTTCAAAGACTTTTTTCTTGGGGTTCTCGCAGGGCGGGGGCGGGGAAAAGAAGGGCCTTTTCAACAAACACGGCGTCTGGTAAATTTATCTTTGCTACATGATGATTCCCCCCATGGCGAGACAAGAAATCGCGGACATATATAAAGACATTTGAGGAAGACGAAGCACAAAGAGAGTGGTTCAGGGGGCGGATTGATGAAAAGCCCGTCAACCGCGGCTGAAGATATAGAAAATTGAAGTAGGGGCAACTTTTTGCCTCTTGTCTGGGTAAATTACTCTTTCCCGTGTGAAATCTCTGTGAATTGCTGTTCTTGATTTGATTAGGAGGCGGCAGTTGTCTATATTCAGTGTTGACACCACGTTTGTGATGCATACCAATTATCACATAAGGTATGCTGATATACTGTTATGGCTCCTGGACAGAAAGTTATCAAGTTCAGTTGGTGGTACATTGACGTTGGTGAATCCAGCTTTTGGACATGTATTCTGTATGAGAAGGCATTCCCGCAGTTTAGTAAGGCTACCATACGAGATCCAACACCTTACTACTGATCCGTCTACAAGGAAGTCTTTTGTATTCGTTCTTCAACTCTATCGCATGCCAGTTTTAGGACAAAATTCAAGTGTTACAAGTTTCAAGTAGCAGAAATTCACAGCTTCACGCCGCCATGCAGTCACGCGGCCTGCAGCGACTTCTGCTCGGGCACGATGCTCTTGAGCTTGCCCTCCTTGACGGCCATGCGCACGTTGTCAATAGTCCACTCCTCCATCTTCTGCTGCGTCTCCTGGGTCCAGGTGCCCATGTGGGGGACGAGGAGGACGGAGGGGTTGGCGAGGAGGCCGGGGTGGATCTCGGGCTCGTTCTCGTAGACGTCGAGGCCGACGGAGGAGACCTGGCCGGAGGCGAGGGCGTCGACGAGGGCGGCCTCGTCCATGACGGCGCCGCGGGCGGTGTTTACGATGACGATGCCGGGCTTCATGAGGGCGAACTGGGGGGCGGCGATGGAGTGGCGGGTGCTGGGCTGGAATTTTGGAAGAGTCAGCATGGGGAGGGGACGAACATGTATATAAAGGTAAAAGAGTTTGGGAAAGCAAGGGGGGGGAGGAGCTGATATGTGGAAAAAAACGTACGTTGAGAGGCAGGTTCAAGCTCAGGACGTCGCTCTCCCTGAGCAGCGTCTCAAAGTCGACGTACTCGGCGCCCTCCTCGAGCTCGGGGCTCAGCCGGGAGCGGTTGTGGTAGCGGATGCGCATGCCAAAGGCGCGGGCCTTGGCGGCGACGTTGCGGCCGATGCCGCCCATGCCCAGGATGCCGAGGATCTTGCCCTGGGGGTCGTGGCCGAGGGCGGGCGGGGGGTAGCCGCGCCACTTGCCGGCGCGCAGGGCGTGGATGCCGATGGGGAGGTTGCGCAGGGCGCCGATGAGCAGCCAGATGGTCACGTCGGCGGTGGCGTCGTCGACGGCGGTCGGGGTGTTTGAGACGTGGACGCCGTGGGCGGTGCAGGCTTGGACGTCGATTTGGTCGTAGCCGGCGCCTTTTTTTTTAAGTCAACTCTTGTTCTTGTATATATGGAGAGGAGAGGGGGGGATAGATGGATGTTATTCACCGTTGTGGCAGAGGAACTTGATGGTCTTGGGCAGGTGGTCGAGGAGCTCGCTGTCAATCTTGCCCGTGACGGAGACGGAGTCAAAGGTGCGGTAGGCGACGCTGATGCCGTCGAGGGCGCCGGACTGGCACTCGGCGATGAAGTCGGCTCTGTTGGTGGACTTTGGCTTGATCACGTCGGCGATGTCGGCGATGGTTGACCAGGCGTCGTGGGCGCTGGGGGCCAAGATTTCCGTTAGCTGTGTACGAAGAGCAGGGAGATACGAGGTTGGAATTGGAGATGTACTGGTCAATCTTGCCCAGGAGGAGGACCTTGGGACGGCTCATGGTGGGCAGGCGTTTTGGGGGGTGGTGATGGAGAGATGGGAGGGGATGAGAGTTGGGAGGAGATGCTGCAATTGCACCGACGGCGAGGGTATCTAGAGCAGAGCAACAAACTGCAGAAAGGAAAAAGAGAGAGGAGAAAAAGCAAGAAATTGCAGAAGTAAACAAGAGATCTAGGGAAAAGAGAGGGGATCGAAAAGAGAGGAGAAGAGGAGGGACATCGGATCCATTAATATCGTCGCCCAGTTGATGGTCTAATGTTTGCTCTCGAGCTCGCACACACCAGTAGAGCAGGCCCCGCGGTTCGGCGGGGTAAAGATTCCACAGGGAGGTCACCTACTAGACTTTGAGTAGATGCCCCCAAATACTGCCCCGTAGCGCGGGGGAACAAAGGCCGTGGGGCTTGTTGGAGAACTTCGGGAGGTGCTCCGGTAGGTCATCTATTGTTCTTTCATCTTGTTCCTTTTCGCCAATGTACTCGGATGATTGCTCTACGGGATGTCTCTATCTGGTGTGAAGATGGTGCTGAACATTGATATGATGTATAATTATCTCTTTTCCGGGAGCTTTTTGCACATCTGAGTGCCGTTCTTCGCTTTGGTCATCACCACCATACGGCATCGTTCGCCGGACTCTGCTCTTTTAAGGCACCTCACATACATGTAGCCAGTGTATTACACCAACCAAACTCCAGTGGGGGGCAGCGGATCCTCAAATGCCCGCCTTTACCTGACTCTCTCCTCCAGCCGTGACGGAGAATCCATCTCTACAGCCGACTATAGCCACACATTCATATTGAACATTTTCCCGCCGTGAGTATATCCTTTACCAAGGCAGGAAATTATCCCGGGAGGCATTGCACCTGTCCGTCTACTTGGCACAGTGACAAACCTGATTGATGTTACTGGGACTCGGGAGTTGCTCTTCGGCTGAAAGTGAGGGGGGAGGCACCTTGGTAGGTAGGTAACAAAAGTGACAAGGTAAAACGGCATGGAAAGGGTCGGCTATAGATTGAAGCGGCTGGATGGCTGGATGGGCTGCTGAGTTGCAGCATCGGACAGGCTCTCCGCATTGACCATTTGCATGACTGGCGAGATCGGAGACTAGCAAGGTGATCAGCTTTTGGTGAGTGGAAACATGGCTCTGGGTTCCAATTGTATGATGCTTTGGCTTCGAGTCAGTTGGCAGCTCAACTTTGGCAACCACTGCAGTTGACGAGAAACGAGCATCATAATCAAATCCCAAAATGCAGCGGTCCACTCTTAGGCACATTATACTATTGAAGGTAGTCTACACAGTTGAGATTTCCTCAGTAAGTATTACCACCTAGATATCGAGTTCCCATAACGCATCCATCGTCTGAACCATTATATACACAGCTTTAAGCTGTCAAGCGTCAAATTCCAGGTCAAGCATCCATCTCGAGCGCCGCTATAACGAACCCCTCTCATATAAAGCCCAGGCAATCCCCATGAACCCAAAAGGGGGAAAAAAAAAACCATCTAGGTGGCGTATATGTCTCTTCGCCCCTTCTCCAGTCAGATATCGAGAGATACCGTTGAACTTTTCCCATACCATTCATACATGCCAAGAGGCAATATTGAAGACGTCCCTCTAGTTCTGTGAGACAGCTCAAAGCTCCCAGGGACCAAACACTTGCGTCATCCAGTCAATGTCACCAAACCCGGTCGCCAGGTCCTGGTCAGGCAGCATGGAATGATCCACCAGCAACGTGGGCTGCGGCGCCGCGCCCGGGACAACTTGGCTGTTCGGCGTCGGCAGTCCTCCCATGGGCTGCTGCACAATGGCCGGCTCCCAGTTGGAGCGCACGTTGCGAAGCACCTTTGTGCACTTTCCAAAGATGGACACGTCCTCGGGCCCTCCCCGCAGCGGGTAGAGCGCCTCGGCCTTGGTGAACAGGTCAATCGTCCTGTCCAGGTAGTTGCCCAGATCCGCCGTGCTACGGACAATCTCCTTGTCAAACGCAGGGTCATCGAGGGTCGTCACCCGGTACAGCAGAGCGTGGATCTGGGCCAGCTCCACGTAGAAAGAAAACGGCATGCCGATGAACTCGGCGAGCGGAACGGCAAACAGCACGTCGTACCAGGCCCGGGCAGCGACCAGGCCGGCGTACATGGCGTCGATGCGCGGGCCGTCCGGGATTCTTGCTCCGCCAAAGAGGCCGACGGACTGGACTTGGGCTTCGGTGCTGAAGAGGTGCATTTGTATCACGGCTGGTCACCAGATGTTTAGCGCCTTTTCACGCGGCTTCGAGCAGGCTCGGATCTTTGTCGACTCACCCTTGGATGCTGCAGCTGGCGGCAGTGTATCCCGAACCCTTTGCAGCTGAAGAAGCAGACTCCTCTTGTAGACCCAGGTAGGAGCCTTGTCGGGGTCAGTTCTGCCGAAATCGCGGCCTACGAAGTCGGCCATCAACAGTTTCCGCGCCTCCTCCCCAACCAGCTGCGTCTTGACAATTGCTACCAACGTCTCGTCTGACGGGTACTCCTTTTCGCTCTCCAGGATTTCCAATGATTCTTGCATGTGCTGCGTCCACGGCAGTGACTCCATCTTGGCGAGAAACGCCGAACATCTGTCGCAGAAAAGGTTAGGCAGAAGAACAAGTCTGGCGGTACAGGTCTCACTTACACTGATGTTATATACCAAAAACCAAGCACCAGCCTTCGCTCTTCCATCGTACGCTCTTTAGCCAGGGGGATACTCCGACCTCCCCAGGCCTTGAAACACACAGTCCCAAAGTGCTCCTCGTTGGGGAATTTTGTGAGGTTCAGCTCGTAGATGATGCAGCTGCACATGTGCGTATATAGTGTGAGAAACGGTTTCGGCTTGGAGCCGGGGCCGGCACTCATTGTCGCCCTATACAGATGATATTGGTCAGTATGTATGTAAATTACTAAGAAGGACGGCGTTAACATGTATTGAGTTCTTACCAAGCAATCAGGAGGATCAAGCCTTGGGCCATCTCCAACGTTCTATCGTGGTTGACAATCATTCGCTGCGCAATATCCTGCCGCACCCGATCCCGCATGGCGGCCTGCTGTGGCATGGACATGCTCGTGACGCTCATGATGCATTGCCAGAGAAAGTAATGCTCTCTGTGTAAGGCCTCGGCCGTGACGTCGGGGCCCAGATGCATGAAAGGGAAGAACTCGAGCCATTGTCGGAACTTGGCGAGGTAGACTTCAGCCTCGCTGGGAGTCGGCTCGGGGAGTCGATCGCTGTCCAGCGGACGAGGGGCCGTCTGTCCGAGGATGCTCGAGGCGCGCGGCTGGGATGTGGTTGCTGCGTCGGCGAGCGAGTCCAGTCGGCTCACGTACGGCTGGCAGTTTGACGACGCTGTTGATTCGCAGGCCGATACGCCGGTCATCGACGGCGACTGATGCGGCTGCTGGAGATGGCTGACATGGTGGGGAAGAGGAGGCTGGTGCGGCTGGTGCGGAAGCGGGTGTTGATGCTGGTGCTGAGGTTGCTGTTGCTGCTGCTGCGGGAGTTGCTGTTGCTGTTGCTGGTGATGCTGGTGCTGATGCGAATGCTGGTGCTGCTGCTGCTGCGTCGCCCTCAGGATGGACACGAGGTCGTCGAGCTTCTCCTCCAGCTGCGCGGTCCTGGACGCCGTGGTCCGCTTGGCCACGCGCTTGCGGGACGTCACCATCTGCTGGCAGTCCTTTCCCAGGCGATGGCAGCGGTCGCATTTGCCGCCCTCTGGCCGGAGGATGCAGCGGCACTTTGCGCGCGAGCAGTTGGTGCACGAGCGGCCATATCCGGCCGGGATGCCGCCCACAGAGGCCGCGTCTGGCGGAGGCGGCGCCGGGGCCATTGTCTCGCCGAAGGCCCAAAGCAAAGCCCAACGAGAGAGCGCTTCTACCCAAGTTGCTGGACGAGACGAAACCCGACCGACGCTGAGCTGGCGGTGGTGATGGGAAGCATCGACGGAGACGCGCAGCCGGGATTGGGGCGACTCCTTAATCCGTAGAGGTTGGCGGTGCTGGTGCTAATCGTAAGGTAGTGGAGAGTAGGCAATGGAGGGAGCAGGCAAGGCCGTCGAAAAGTCCGGACTGCCTGGACAAACGGTCGCTGAATCAGCATTCCTGCGTCGCGCTGGCCGGGGTCGCTGTGATATCCGACATTCCGAAGTCCGAGAGACGGTCGTCCAATGCCGAGCGCAACCACGGCATTGATCGACGACGTGTTCGAGGACACGTTGATTTTATCAATCAGCTATTCGCAGTTCAATTGAGACGTATCAGTGCCGGTCGACTGTGCAGCTGTTTGGAAGCGTGAGGCTGTGCTCCGTGGCACTCGCGAACCCTGGTGTTGCGGTTGGTGTGAGGCGGGTCCGGACAAGATGTGACCACTGGATGAAGCCAAGCATCGGCCCTGGATAGATGGCTATCAGCCTCAAGACGCTAAACAAAGAGCCGTCTCCAGTGAAGAGCAAAGGGGCCAATGTACTGAAAGAAATTCCGTCAGTTTAAGCATCCCTCTATTCAGTCGTGATGGAAGCCAGCAGTCTTGAGGCCCGGCAGCTGCACTTCGGCAAATTGTTTTCGCCGCCGACTGCCGGCACATGGTGTACATACATAGGTCCCTTATCCGAAGCTAGCCATTGAGCGCCAGATCGTATCAAGATACTACTCCATATCTACCTTATGCACCCCTTGTCTTCAACACCACGACCACAACTGCAACGTCGTCTCCCTCAGCCTCGTCCGACACCATCACCAGCCTCGCAATGGCCGCCACAGGCCTCGTCGCAGTCGAGACGCTGCCCCGATTCCTCCTTCCCCGGCTCAGCTGGACTGCGCCGCTCTCAGCATCCCGACCCGCCGCTGCCCGACCCTTTGCCGCATATCATCAAGCCCGGCCCAGCATTCGGAGCGCAATCCCCGCCTTCAACGCCGCCTTCTCGGACGCGAGACGTCGCGATGGCCAGATGCCGGCGCTGAGGCGGGGTTTCCACGCCACCGGCCAGCGGCATCGCGAGCATCACTTTGACACGCTCAAGTTTGTCAAGCAGCTCGAGGGTGAGGGCTTTACGGAGGAGCAGTCTGTCGCCATGATGAAGGTCCTCAACGACGTCATCCAGGAGAGGTTTGTCCATGTTACACCAACTTGAATGCTCATCGCAGGCGTGCTAATGTCGGCCATCTTGCAGCATCCAGAACCTGACGCGAACCATGGTCCTCCGCGAAGACGCCGCCCGGACGACGTACACGCAAAAGGTCGACTTCGCCAAGCTGCGCTCCGAGCTGACGGCGGCCGACAGCACCGAGTCCAACACGACGCGCATCGCGCACGAGCGCCTGACCAACGACATTGCCAAGCTGAGCAGCCGGCTGCGCGACGAGATCGGCCGCACCCAGGCCAGCGTGCGGCTGGACCTCAACCTGGAAAAGGGCCGCATCCGCGAGGAGGCCGTGACGCAGGAGCTCAAGATCAAGGAGACGGAGACCAAGATTGAGCAGGAGGTGGCGGCGCTGCGGGAGAAGCTGGAGCAGGTCAAGTTCCAGACGCTGCAGTGGCTGATGGGCGTGTGCACGGGTTTCGCGGCGCTGCTGCTTGGTGCCTGGAGATTGCTCATGTGAGGCGTGTACGGGGATTTGAGAAGATCAATGTTTACTTGGTAGATGGCGTAGTATGTGCTTTTGTATGTATGTAGAGACCAGTAGTTGTGCATTGATCTCGATGAGATGGTTCTACTTGGAGCTTTTCATTTACAGTTACATTCTTAGAGCTCAGTAGCCCATCTCTTGAGCTCTTGTTATGTTTCTCCCATGATTCGCCCAGGCTATAGCTTTTCGAGTCGACGAAACGAACTATCAAGGCCTCGTTCACGTACCGAAAACGTCACTCGAGAACCGTCAGCAAAATGACATGCAACCATCCGGTCAACCTACATGGCTCTGCGTATCCCGCTTCCTGGCACCCTCGCCCACGCCGCCACCAGCCTGCTCCAAGTCGGACGCCTTGGTGCCTCCGTAGCCGTGCGGCTGCTGGTGCTGCTGCGAAGCGGCTTCCGAGACGTTCCTGGTGTTGGAGGTGACGTCCTGGGCCATGGGTTCGGGGTCGTCCTTGAGGATGGCGTGGCCGCCCTGCAGGAGGTGGTCGCCGCCGTGGGAGGCGGCCGAGGAGGAGGCTGCGGCGGCTCTTTGCATGGTGGGTTCTTGAGATGTGTCTGAGCTTGATTCGTTTGCTAGTGCTTGGTTGATGGAGGTCATGAATGGTGCAGGTAGAGGGGGAGGTATTTGGAGGTTCGGTTCGTGATGGGGGGATGAGGAGACGGGGGTTTTGTGTTATAGATGGCCGTTTGAGCCTGATTTATATGGATTTTGATGGCTTGTGTTGGTTCGGTTGTGTATGACAAAAGGGTGACGGAATCCCGCTTCTGGTGGCGGCGGCATCAAAAGGAGGAGGATGGGGACGCCTGGATAAATATTGAGCTCGAATCAGTTTGAGTTACGGTTTATGGTTTGGTGCCTTGCCATGTTGTTGGATGAGAGTTGGACTTTTGGCGCTTGTCCTGGGTATGTGTTTGTCTGGGTAAGGTGTTGTAGTGGCTTATAAGATGGCTCATGAGTTCTTGAGACGATACCCGACGGAGTGTTGAGATGAGCTCAGCCATGTATATTTGATGAAAAGTCTTTTATCTCTACTGATGCTGTTTGTTAGATCGGATGGCATTAAGAGTTATAGAGTTTCAGTGTCTTTGCTCGAATGATCCGTCGGAATAGAAGCAGATTCCGCCTTCAAGATTTGGCTGTAGATTAACGTCATTGACAGCGGTGTGGGAGGGATGCTTTGTTTATGCAGTCAAGGATCTTTGGTTCTGATTCTGTTCCTCTTTCATTTATTGTTGTGTCTAAACTACTCTAGAGTATTTGTTTCAATTTCCTCTTGCTGTAACGGAGGGATACGAGCAAAGACACATGGTGCACATGATGCTGTATTTCGGCTTACTCCGAAGTATAGACTGGGAGGCTTCAGCAACGATGAGAATCGCAGCACAAGAAACCAAACAAAGGAACAGGAACAGGTAAAAAAAAAATTACGACCCTTACATTTGGACACTTGTAACGAAAGAGAAACGAACCGTTTGGAGCATTTCACTTGAGTCTATTGTTATGCTTTTCCATGTCCCTGGGTGTCGACGTTGTATGTACATACATGTAGGGTATCATCGAGCTCAAGCTGACTTGAACGATGTTGAACCCGTGCCAGAAATTCACGTCACAAGATCCATCAACCACGCGGGACGCCCAAATTCAACGTGAAGCCTTTCCACCCCCCTCCCTTAAAACCTTCGGTTTCTTCCTCTTCTTTTCTGATGGAGAATTCCATCAGCTGACGGTTTTTGGACCACGTCGATCCGCCCGATGTCACAGAAAACAATGTGGAATGAATAGCAATGACGGAGATGAAGGAATCAACAATGTGGTCTTGAGGAGAGCGTGATCGCCGTGTGTAATCCATGGTAATATGCTGAGCGCGAAGGATTCTTGGCCAGGTGAGCTCTTTTTGCTGTCGTATAAGTGTGAGTATGGTGATGTCTTAACGGGCGCTTTCAAGAATATGCTTGTCATCTATCTCCGAACAACGGGGCGATGGCTTCAAGGCGCACATATATGTATCTCTCCTAGCTACATCTTACCCATACAATATGACGATCCCCTAACCTCTAAGCTGCTCGAACATCACCGCCCCCCCCTTCTCGCCAGCAAACCATGGAAACGTCCTTCAACGACCCCTTCATAAAATCCTGGTCCTCCACCCCGATCCCCAACCTCTCCCTCTCGGCAGGCGGCCTCCTCGCCCTCGCCGACCTCAACACCATCGCCCAGCGCACCGCCATCGCCGGCGGCTCCTCCTGGCTCGACGCCTTCGTGCTCGCCCCCGGGCTGCACTACCAGCAGGCGGCCGACCTGCTGACGCCCGAGTACAACGGGGCCGGTGGCGGAGCCTCCAAACTCGTCCTCTCGACGCTCGACGGGAAGAAGACGCGGCTCGTGGTCAGCAATGTCGGCATGGTCAAGTATCTGAGGCGGTTGTGGGAGCGGGAGGGCAGGTACGGGGTTGTGACGCTGTATGTTGGCGAGGACGATGATGCGTTTGCGTTTGTGTCTTCGTTGTCGCTGTTGTTGTTGGGGCAGCGTGATGATGGTGATGATGAGGGTGATGGTGCTGAGGGAGATGTTGGGTCGGGGAGGAGACGCAGGCAGAGGCGCTGGCTGAGGGACTTGAGGAGGGCGAAATTGGTAGAGGAGGGGGACAGGAGGAAGAGGGGAAAGGTGAGGGAGGTGCTGGAGATGGATTGGGTCAGCCACGTGCTGTATCTCCTGAGCCCGCTCCTCACCGTCGGGGCGATCGTCTTGATGGTGCTGCTGCAGGATTGGTGGGGGCTGGGCTTCCTTCTCGCGCTCATGGCGTCCCGGCTTGCCAACATCTGGGCCATCAAGGCGCGTTCGAAGCCGGGATCCGTGCCGCCAAAGCTGCCTCCTCCTCCTCCTCCCGGGGATTCTGGGGATGCGTCGCCGCCGCCTTCCTCTTCTTCTTCGTCAGGGGCGTCAGGGGGGGATAGCCCGCCGTCGGTGAACAACAAGTTTCCCATAGCCTTCAAGAGGGAGGACTCGCAGATGACCGAGTACACAATCGACTGGGGCGACAACCGGCGCGTCATCCTCAAGGGCCAGGACGCGGACCTCCGCGCCGTCACGACCGAGGCCTGGCTGCGCGCCAAGACGACGCTCGAGGGCTACCTCGAGGCCATGTCCAAGCTCATCGTCTACATGGTGGCCTCGCTCAGCGGCAACCTCTCGCAGGCGGGCGCCGTCGTGCTCATGGCGCTGCTGCTCGTCAGCGCGGGCCTGCTGGGGCTGAGCAACGCGCACGCGACGAGCCTGCGGATGCACGGCCGGAGGGTCGGCAGGCTGAGGAGGGTCGGAGGAGGAGGGGGAGGAGGAGGAGGAGGAGGGTGGAGGGTCAGGCCGCTGGAGCCGGGGATGGCAGTCGTGGGCGATGTTGGGGGTGGGGTTGTACCGGTTCAGGTTGTGCCGGTTGGGAATTGAGAGGGCTTGCTTCTTTTTTGTTTGTTCTTCTGGAGTTGGCATGGGCGTGTTGGCTTTATAGATGTACACGATTCATGTGGACCTGTATCGATTATCCTTACTCACACACGCTCACATAACAAACGCGGCACGGAACCTCACTGCGACTGAAGGGGAGGAAACGATTTGAGCACGCAAGTATCGTAACTGACAACCCAAGGCCACCAAGTAGGTATTCTCGTCGAAAACTACCTCGTATGTCAATACCATGGACAAAAGCAACTAGAAACACCCAAACGGAAAAACGCCGTTGTATACAAATGTACTCCCACTCAGTATTCGCACAAAGCCGTCGAGTCCAACGCTGAGCCGCCAAGGCGATCTACACGTTGGCAGGCTGGTCCCCCTTCTCCTCTTCCGCGGCGGCGGGCTCTGTTTTCACTGGTGACGTTGCTTCCGCTGCGGCCTGCTCCTCTGGTGCTTGTACAGGTGCCGCCTCGGGTTCGGCCTCCGGTTCTTGCGTCGACTCTGGCTCCGGTTCTGGTTCTGTTTCTTCGAGCTCTGTCTGAGGCTCTGTCGGAGGCTCCGGCTCCGCAATGGGCTCGCCGGCCGCTGCGACGACGGGCGGTGCGGCGTCAGCTTCCGGCTCGGCAGCCTCAGGCAGTGTCGGTTCGACAGAACTCTCCTCAGCCTTCACCTCGGTAGCCGGTGCGGTATCCCCCTTGATGACTTGCTCCAATAGCTGTGACGCAGCCGCCTGCCGGTCCAGCTCTCCCATCAAGCCGCCCAACAGATCTGACTCCTTCTCCTCGGTCACGTCATTATCGAGAGATACCTCTGGATCATCAGTTTCAGGTGCGGCGGCGGAAACTGCCACAGTGTCAGCTGGGGCAGCCTCTTCCTTTGCACCATCTACGGAGACGTTTCCAACCTCTGAAGGCGCCTCTGACTCTGGCAGAGGCGCCGTTACTGAGACTGAGTCTTCCGGCTTGATGGTGTCTTCGGTCATCGCAGACAGCTGATGCAACAGGACCGGCTTTGCAATGGTCTCTGGCTGGCTCGTCGCTTGACCCTTGGGCGTCTCCTCAGAGACTCGGGAGGCTCCGTCCTCGTCCTTTGGGCTGGAGATGTTGCCCACCTGCTCCGGGGGAGGCAGCTCCGCAGCCTGAGGAAGGTCGCGCTCAATGGCCTCCTGAGGGGCCTCACCGACGATTGTCGAAGGCGGCTCGGCAATGACGGAGTCCGCTGTGTCGTCGGCTGGCGTGTCCAGCACAGGCACAGCGGTATCGATCGCGGATTCGGCGTGAACCGATGGCTCGGACGGCGAGGGCACAATGACGGGATTCCTGGGCGGGGTGTCTTCATGCTTGAGCGGCAGAAGAGACGGGCTCTTCGACGGCACTGCTGGCACTTCCGGTGCGGAAATAGTCGGCGGCTTGGGAGGCGACGGCTCCCTGGGCGCGGGTTGCTCATCCTTCATTTCGACGTCAGGGTTGTCGATTATGTGCGATGCATCCACCATGTCCTCGTCCTGGTCCTTTGTAGCGTCGAGCATGGATTCATCTGGCACTTCGACATCGACGGTCTCATCGCCTTCATCTCCCTCCTCGCCTTCATCGCCGTCGTCGCCGTCTTCCTCCTCTTCTTCGTCGTCATCACCGTCAGCCTCGCCCATCTCACTGTCCTGATTCCGAGGTTCAAGCTCGCTGGGCACGGGAGTCTATGCGCACATCGGTTAGCTTCCATATTGCATGACAGTGTTGTCGAACCACTTACGACCACGTCCTTGACCTCCGTCTTGACTGCAGTTGGGGCTCCAGCCCCTGCGGCGGGTGCTGTTCCGGCAATTGGCTTGTCTGCCAACACGGGCTGCTTAATCTTCTTCTTGCCTCTTCCAGGCCCTGCCTTGGCTTTCCGCTTGGGCGGCGGCGGCCTCCTTCTCACAGCCGACGGCGGCGCTGCTGCGAATGCGTCTGGCTGAGCCGCCGTGACGGCCTCCACTCGGGTCGCAATGACTTCGCCGTCTACACGCTGGCCCTCTGACAGGGTGACTTCTTCTGTGTACGGGTTGCCGGCAGCGTCCATCCGCCGGACCGTAGCCCTCGTCACCGTCGGGCCAGTTACCTTCTCCTCGACAGTTCGGCTGGCGACGGTGACGGTGTTCTTCCTGCGCTTAGCAAGGTGCGAGATGGCTGGAGCCTCGACATTCTTAGGAAGCTGCTTCCAGATCCTTATCTGGTAACCCTGCGAGCTCGTGTCGTCCTCCTTCTTCTCCGGCTTGTCCAGGACCGTCTCGCCATCGCCGTCGTCGTCCTCGACCGGATGCGGTCGTTTGTACAGGCGGCCGGACCTCGCAGCGCGCAGGAGCTCCTGGGTGTGCGGCGGCAGCAGGGCGGCATCCTTGGGCATGCCGTGGAGGAGCTCAATGGCCCAGATGTCGTTCTGCTGCTGCTGCTCCTGCTGGACGGGGGGCGCGACATTGACCCATTCGTGGCGCCATTGTCGGACGGGGAGGCCTGCGGATTTGCGTCAATCAGCTGCTGTCGCGTGTTAACGGGGAGCGCAATGGCGGCGAACCTTCGAAATCGTCGTGCTCGACGTAGCCGCTGCGGTTGGCGCGTCTCGTCTACAGCAAACTGTCAGCGAATGGCGATTGTCGCGATCTATCTGGAACACGGGAAGAGGGCGTACGCCTGGAGCCATTGCGCCTGGGGGAACTGGTGCAGCCGCAGCCTCTGTCCGTTACGGCGCAGCACGGGAATCGACACTGCGGCAGATGCTCAACGACGGCGACGCAGGGCAAACGCGGCGATGGCCGTGATATCGATGCTTCAACGGCCGGGAGTGACCGTGTTGGTGATGAAAATCGACGGATTGCGAACACGCTCCAGGCGCTTCGGAGCGGAAACGATGGTGACTGTGGCGTCTCGGCCAATTGGAGCGGTGGATGCGGCGATGACATAAGCGGGCATACATGTGCAGGTGCATGCATTGCCTTTGCAGAGAAGACATGCAGGATTGCGTTGCGCTTCGACTGCATTAATTGGTTATTTTTTTTGCATTCATGTACTATGAGAAAGCTGCAATGAAGCCTTTGAAGCTATGCACTGCAAGATTACTCTGTGCTTGAAGTGGCTGAGGTGCAGCTACCACACTGTGATGCCCTCAGTTCACGTCCCGCACGGCTGATCAAGCCATCAACGACTATCAAAGGCAGCTTCAGGTCACAGCGCCGTTCAGGAGCGTTCATCTTGGACCCTGGCGAGCTTCGTCGCAATCGGTGTTGAGATTGTTATGTAGTCTAAATTTGTGTGCCAAAACGATGCCGCAATACTCCCAAGCCCCGAGCCGAAAAGCAGTCAATCTTTCGATGCTCCCGTGGTATGTGTATCATGTACAAGCCCCCCGTTGCCATCCTACTGTACAGCCATATGTCCCTCCATGTTTATCATTGTCGTTTCCGCGTGCCTCAATTCAAACTCAGTCGTAACTGAACAACAATCGGTCAGCACCCGTCTCAACAAGCAGTAGGGATATTGGTGTAGACTTACCCTGGCTCCTTTTGCCGTACAATCTCTCCTGATTTACCCGTTTCCTTGCCCTGAACCAAGCGCGTCAGCATGCATGGCAGCTCGGGGTAGAGATGGCGTCAACGTACCGACTGTCCCCCCTCCACCACTAACCGATCCAGCTTGTAGAACTGTCCGATGACTGTTTGTCGCTGCCATGGGCCGTCAGTATCTCGTCCGCAGGAGGAGCAACAATGATCCTTCCTTGTCCTTGCATACCTTCATCATTTGCAGTTCCTTCAGCCCCTTCTGGATCAGCTCCTGAATCTTGCGCGGATCCTCTACCGCAGCATTCTCTCGAAAGGCATCTCGGGTCCGTCGCTTCGCATACTCGCGGAAATTGTAGGAGCTGAACTCTTTGCTCTGGCGCAGAAGCTGTCGATACTAGAGAGATCCGTAGAGTTAGTCTCACATGTATCGAGAGCCTCGGAACGTTCGTTTCTTCCGCGACTGCAAGAAGAAGCAACTGTTGCTCTTTTTCACGGCCTTCCCCACCACGGCAAATGCGCAGCTCTGACGAAATACAAGATAGAGTCGTTCTCCCTGCGCATAGGGACAGATCAAACTCACCAGTGATCGCGTCTGCTGCGGCAAGTCGCCCCGTAATGTGCCGACCAAAGACATTGTGTGCTGGTGAATCTGGCGCAAGTTGTGCCGCTGCTGAGGTCTGGGCGTTCAAATTCCCATCATTGATAATGACGGAGGCCGGGAATCCTACAGAATGCGGGTTCGGTGTTAGTCGGACCGGAGAAATCCTGCTCCGAAAAAGCTTCCTCATCCGAGCTTTGCCCGGCAGCATCGCATCCACCTTCTGTGAGCTTTTTCGCTGTAAGCCGGACTGGCTCGAGGCTTGTCTCCGAGCTGCCGAAGGGCGGCATTTCGGTATATTGAGGCTACGGCCCGTCTTGTTTTAGGGGTCTGGGGTTGGACACGTCCTTCGGGGAGGCTTCACTACTGCTGCCTGCTAGTCCTGGCCCTGCATGGCTGTAGTACACGTACGTTTCACGCTGACTTGTGCGCATGTAATCCCGCAGGCAATTGAATCAGGATATTGATGAATTTGTCTCTCTGCCGCTGATGGTGATAGGAAAAGTCCGAGACGACCTCCACATTATTGATGTTCTTCTTTAAAGGACGTAAGATTTGTGTGTACTGCAAAATGTGATGTTTATAGAGGCTTGTGCATGTGTGTGATATCGGGACAAGAAGATGCCGGACAATATCCTGTTTCCAAACCGACTTCCTTCCTCAAATTGATCGCCAAAAGCTCTTACAACCCCATGCTTCAACCTCCTTTTTGGTATCAGAAGTAACGATGCAAGCAAATGCAACCCTCACCAGGGCCAAACTCCGGTGTAACTCCCGTCTCCGGTTGAAACAAGACAGCTCGCTCTTGAACCGAAGAAGAGGGGAGCCAGAAACAGCTTAGTTGTCTCCCTTGAGTAACATTGACAATGTCTTCAAGGCGAGCCCTATAATTTTCCCATGGTTCCTTTCACCCACTCCTTTTTCAGCCGCAGGTCATGAACTTGACGCCGCAAATGATGCCAAAGCTTGTGCAATGGTTTCGTCAGAGAAACCGTTGGTATTGAGCATCTGGTTAAACCTCGTGTCATGGTCTGAATCACCCTGCAGCTGAGTTGTCAGGGTATATTGTCGTTGAGACTGATTCGGCTTCACCACCGTGGCCGCCTGGGTGTTCTTCTTCTCCGGGAACAGGGGGGCAAAAACTAGGTTGGTGACGGACGCATTGAGATTGGCCAGTTCCGTGGGATGGCTGTTGTCAACTAGATTCCATTTCAGAATCTTCCCCTTGACGTGCCCTGTGACAATGGAGGTACCATCATGGCTGACTGCCATGCAAGAGGCGGGTCCCGCGTCCTCATCGACCACCCCCAGGGGAGAGTTGATTTGCATAACGATGGATGCCAGCTCGGCACTGCGGGAGCCTAGCAGGGGCTTGTCGCCGTAGAACTCAACGAGATAGAGACTTCTATCTTCAGAAGAGACAAAGAGGGCTCGGGCACAAGGGTCTAAGGAAATGCAGAGAGGGGCCGTAGGGAACAGCAATGTTCGCAGAACCTGACCTGTCTGGTAGTTCCACAAGATGCAGGTCTTGTCTTTGCTAGCCGATACACACAGGTTTGTCTCGGGATTGGAGCCTGGACCCAGGACGAGATCTGTAATGGCACCCCGGTGGTTTGAAAGTGTCCTGTCTGGCTCATAGCCGATATCCTGCCCAGGCTCAAGGAGGCGTGGCAAGGACCAGACGTTGATGTTGGAGTCATCAGAGGCAGACAGCACATGATGGGGAGACACGGCAAGGCAGCTCACGGCCTGCACATGGCAAGGAGGAGTTGTGATTTGCCGTCCCGTACATGTCTAGGCAAGCTGTCAGCATTCATGATATCCTTCTATAAGAGGTTCCGACCAGGGGGTCTTGGTTGAAGAAGCTAGTAGACGAGGGAGAGAGAGCCATACCTCCCAAAGAATGAGCCGCCCTTCGGCTGTTCCAAGCACAAGAACGTCACCGGCAAGGGCAATACATCGGATTCTCTCCTGGAAAGGCACGAGAGCCTCTTGGTTTCCTCGAGCTCGAGAATATACGTGGACATGAGCCTTCTGATCCTGGGCAGCATAGACGTGACTATCACTGACAGCCAAGCAATGAACTGGTGCGGAGCTCTTCTTGAATGTCGACTTGACAGCCCACGTGGGCGTTAGGGTATGCGCGTAGATGCCAACGTCCTTTGAAATGGCCGTGTTGGCAGCTATCGGCGGGCCGCACACCGAGGAGAAGAGCTCCTCAGACAGCATGGCGGCCATGGCTGAGCGTGGCTGGACGCTGAGCAGCGGTGTTTCAGCAGGCTGGCCTCCTCAAACGTGCCTCCGTAGTGTCGAAGCTCTCGGCTTTGATATCAAGTGACGCCGGGATCTGGCGAGGAGGCTGCTGGTTGAGACAGTCGAAGCAACGGCCCGGGCTTCGCCAAGCAGATCAATGGATGCTACTGCCAATGGCTTTTCTCGCTAGAATAAACTTAGACGACTGTCGCACTAAAGTGACATGTGCTCAATAACTCTCCGCTTGGTGCTGTGGGCAGTCGTATGATATCTGATATCGCAGTGTGTGCACAGGTTGAAAAACTAGCCGTTGCAGAGAGGAAGAAAAAAAAGGAAAGAAATTTGACGTCGGGTCCGATGGAGTGCATGGCGACCCGCTCATGGGGTTGCGGGATTGAGGCCTCAGCGGTCTAGCGCCTGGCCCGGCCACTCACAGCGGCAGCTCCAGGCCTTTCCAGCGCCCAGCACGGCCTGGCAGAGCCCACTCCAGCACCCTGACGCCGCCCCGTTAGCGCTCTTATTAGCGGGCGCCAGTGCTGCTCCAGGGCTGCTCCAGGGCCGACGGCGCCCCGATCTAGTAGTGGACATGCAGGTGACGTATCTGATCAACTATCGCTTGTCCTTGCCTTTTCCTGGCCCTCCCTGCTTTCAATGTCATGTCGCCTTTCTCAACCTGAACCTCCTCTCGGGCTTCGCCCATGCTCTGTCATTTGCTGCGGTGGCTGTCAGATGCAATGTCTCGCCGACCCGTCCAGGTGACGGCCCAAGGCCCTCTAGCAGCTGCTCGACTTCGCGCCCCTGCATAACGCTGCTCTCAACCTGATGCCAGCTCAGCACTCTACAGCCCTTGCATCAAGAGCCTCCGTTCTGCCTGGACAACAGCCTCGCCCTTGAGCCATCCGCACTCCCTTCGTCTGCTGCGGCATCTCATCTCGCTGCAGCTTGATCTGCGGGGTTTGGACAAGCTCAGCTCCTTGGCCAGAGCGACGCCGACGCCATGTGGTTGTGGATGCCTTGAGCCGACGAACCCCCAACAGCGACTGCAGCTCCGGAGCTCACGATGCCTGGATGAGCAGCATGTCCGATCAAGTGGTTGCATACAAGTAGTACTTGTATGCTTGGACGAGGGCCATGAACGGAGACCGTTGCGCGCGATTGAACTGATGGGCCAATTGCCATCCACGGTGTCAATGGGCATCTATTGTCCTCTGGCACGGGTTACAATGCGGTCCCTGTTGTCCCAAAGTCTGGACTCGGGGCTTGAATTGCTTTTTTTTCGTCGGTCTTTTGCGGCTCGCGGCCAACAACATGCGCAAGGGGCGTTGGCCTTTTCCTCCGCCCCTCACACGATACGATATTGAATCCCGTTGTATTGGCCCGCAGCGGCCAGAAGAGCTGCCTCTTCGCTCTGGGCTTCGGAGGTGTGCCCCCGCCACCATGGCTTTTCACTGCCCTCTACTGGCCGTGCACGAGGTAGTCGCAAAGACAAAGATGATAGGACTCAAATCAGAGCTATTTGGTGCCTCGGAAGCTCCGCAAGTCAGGCCACTCTCTGGCGCCTCAAAGAGAACAGAATGGAGAGAGAATAGACAGCTTCTCGCAAGGACCACTGCTGGTCGAACGACAGGTCTAAGCTGTCCTTGTTCCTGGGATCACTCTTGTAGCCGCCGGGCTGCAGTAACACAAGACTGTCTTATTCTAGCTCTCCGAGGATAGTGGCGTCCTGGCTTCCGGGAAATGACTGTCGCGCTTTGAACGGATCCATTGTGTGAGCCGAAATTTGAGATCACCATCTTGGTACGACATGGCTTGCATCATTGGTCCGCATCGAGGAGGGCCGGCATTTCTCCTCGCGGCACTGTTTGGCCAAGAGTTCCCTAGCCACTGTCGAGAGAAATGGCTAGTAATTACTAGCTGCAGGAGCCAGGAGCTCGCACAGAATCCCTTGCAGAAAACTATGGAGGAGAGGACAAGGCCATCACGGAAGAGTCAAGACGGGTCAGCACTTCGCGACCATGGCAGTCACGCTTGCCAACGCCATACCCGGCCTTCCCTCACGGACAGATTGTTTCACGCCACTTTCAAGGAAATTGAAAGAGGTCTGAGGCCGACCACTCGCAAACAATCCAGCACAAGTCCTGCTCTGTGCTGACTGCTGGGACGAAGCCGTTTCGCCTGTCGGAGGGACCACGGCCAGGAGGCGGCCTCAGCGTCCACCTTGAGAGGCCGAGGCTTGGAGACACTCTTGTTTTTACTTTTTCCTGTCGACATGTCGTCCGCCCCTCCGCCCTCTCGCAGTCAATAAATCACAAGGCTAGCATTGCCCTTGCACTAAACGAGAGCTGCATCTATCTTGTGGCCCGGCCAACCCCTGGACGTGGTCTTTGCTCGCTTTGGCTGTACCACTTGCAAGGATGCGGCCACCCTTCTCAAAAAGTCTCCATGGCTGTCTCTGAGTCTGTCCCTCTCAATGGGGGAGCTCCCTACAGCGCCGCCACCGTTCTAGTTGAGACCGAGATGGTATCTCGGTCTCGTATGTATTATGCATGTGCTAGATCGGCTCCTCAGCCGGTGCCAGGTTTCAGCCGCTCAACTGCATCGTCTTGTCGAAGCAGTTGGACACAAATCCATCTCGAGCAGTTGCTCTTCTTCTCCTAAATCCATCACCAACGTGCTCTTTTTCACTTCCCCGTCCTTCCATATTCTTGAAACCTCCGCAGGCAACATCACTGGCACATCACCAACGCGGCCCCTCTCCCTTGGGTTTGACTCTGTTCCTGTCTCGCCTTCTCCCACCAGTCGCCTGTATAACAGCAGCCCAGCCCTCTTATCCTCGGTGGCCCGAGGATCCTGATAGGAATAGCCCTGACGGCCCTTTCTTTCCATGTTATAAATCTGATCTCATCAAGGCAGAATTGTGACAGAGGTGACCTAGATGGCGGCTAGCTTACAACTCGCGACCTCGCCAACCGGGTTTCTAGAAGGACCTGCCAACATACCCAAGGACGCACCGACCAGCAGGGCCCTGGCCAGGGCCACCACACGAAGGTCAGTCACCAGCATGAAGGGCTTGCTGCCACTTACATTGTCGACGTCTCCCTCTTCGAGCCTCTCGAGTCCGATGCCTGGGAAAGCTGTTGATCAGCGAGTTGATGGCTATTTCCCTGAGCTGCTGGCTCAAGACCTCGAGTTCTCCAAGATCGTTTTTGAGGCCCGAAGGATGACGGCCGGCTCACCCGTCACGTCCTCCTGCACGTCGCCGTTCGACGACTGCATGGACAGACCAACAAGTACGATGAGTTCTTATCGAAGCTCATGCCTGTCGCCGTATCCGTCAGCATACGCGCGCGTCCAGACCCTGGGAGCCATCCAGGAGCGAAACTCAATGGTGTCATTCCTTGATCAGCAGGAAGACGCAACCTCTGTCCATGTGGCATCTGATTCGTGCTCTGCAACCGAAACCGATGCGTCGTCTGTCTATGACGCGGCGCCGCCCTCCTTTATGACACGACACCGCCCGTCCATGGACCTGAAAGCAGCTTCGTCGGATCCGACAAGAAGGAGCCTGCTTCCACTGTCAAAGCTTTCGCTCTTGTTGCCTTCAGAGAGCTCTCGCGGCGGCAGCAGCTGGATCGAAACCGACTCAGACGTCGAGGATGAGGATGCCAGCATATATGGCGCCACGCTCCATCTCTCACCAAGGCCGCCCACGCCGCCCGAGTTCGAGGTCGGCATTGACTCTCAGCCATCCAGCGGGAACGTGCATAAGCTTCTGCATCGGAAATCGCATTCGGCCGCTGCGGCCGCCACTCTCGCGTCACCACTGGGACAACACTTGAGCCACTCGGCGACGCAGGTGCGGCGGCCAAGCTCAACGCAGTGCACCAGGCATTCCAACTCTCAGATGCAGTATCCCGACAGCCCCGAGAGCATCTGCATGCCCATGTCTCAGTACACTCCCTCCGCGCCGCACTCGCAGAGCCTGCACTATCTGCCCGACAGTGCCCTCTCTCGGCGTGCAAGCAACAGGTCCAGCATGAGGACGGCCAACAGCCATGAGGCTGCGCGGCTGAGTGACGAAGATGCCAGAGCAGAATACAATCAGTTCATGTCTTCGATTGACGCAAAGTACGCACCTAGACTTGACAGTGTCTACATCCGCCCCTCGCCCCCTCCGTCGCCGCTTCCCAGCGTGCAAATGTGGCTCAACGGGAGCGCGCAGCTGTTTTCTCTGCCCTTCCAGAGCGATGAGCTGGCTCGAGTCGTGCCTCTGCCGCCTGATGTGATGGAAACGCTGAGGGTCACTACGGCATGTTTCCCAGAGACCATGCTGCTCTCTTCTAGCCTGACTATCGAGACAATTCGAACGTACTCTAGAAAGGCTAGGAACCCAGTAGTCGACCTTGCCCTTCTCCCGGGCCCGCGAAGCCATGCCCCGATGTCGAAGCAGTCATTATGGCGAAGGGTAGTCAAGCGGGGACCACCACAGCCGGGTCAACGGACTCGTGATGTGCACACTCCCACTGCAAGCTTGCTGCAGTCACCCAGCGTGACGTCCCTGGAGTCCATCAAGCCGTGGGCATCGGTCAAGAACGTATTCGGGAACTGTTCCGACTACATCTGCGATGCGCTCTATTCTCACATTGTCGCGTATAATTACGTCTCCGCTCTTGTCGCGCGGTACCCGACCTCTCAACACAATGGGCGCTCCGAGTCACCTGCGGGATCACTGCATGAGGACATCCCGAAGAAGGCGGCCTCGCTTCTGGGCCTCAATGAAGGACCCCCCATGACCTCGGCAGCATCAATCCGATCAGCGAGGAGATTCAGCTCTTCGCACTGGGGTAAGGAAGACGTCATGACGACGAGCACGGGCTCTACCTCCACCAGCCAGGACATGGCGCTCAGGAACATCCAGACAGAGCTTTTACGGTGTATCCGGCGTTTGATTGCAACTGCGAGGCTCATGGCTGAAAGCAACACCACGGATGAGAAAGTGGTAGAGATGGAGATGGAGGATGGGGACGTGCTATTTATGCGAAGCCTCTGTGAAATTGTGAGGGTGAATGAAGAGGCTTCAGCGTATCTATAATGTGGCAAGCCAAGCATCGGGGTGGTTTAAAGACTGCCTTGTGCTGGATTTCTTGGATGTGTCCCATGGATCTTGGTACTATATGCGTTGATGGTGTTCTTTTATTTCCCGCTATGTTAGATATACCTGTCTGATGCGTTCTGTTGAAAGATGTCCTTATGACGGGAGTTGACGAGCTGATCGGTGGCACCATTTGCATGAAGAATACACGATCATTGTCTGACGAGGGTTTACTGGAACCTCGGTGGCCGTTGGTGATGGTAACCAATTCGGTTCTTGATAGATAGCGTTAAAAAGTTGCTTTTCTTTCCCCCCATGCGCTCGGATGATTTGTCAACATGAGGTCAACAGCAATCGGACTTAAAGTTCGGATCTTCCAAGTACTTATAAGAGGGTATCGTCTAACTTCACTCCAGTGCCAACATGAGCGGCAGTCCAATCTCCCTTTGCTCACCTACAAGTCAGCAAACAACTTGAACCAACATCACACCTCCAACGGCCCCTTTCCATCCCCAAACAACTCTTCATGCCAAGGCGTACTCCCCTTCTGGCACACCCCATCCCAATCGATCGGCACCAGCCTCCCGGGTCGATCATCTTTCCTTGGCTCAAAGACGGTTACCTGCTTCTTCCCGCGCTGCTGCATCTCTGGCGGCCAGTACACCAGATTACGTTCTCCACCATCATCCCCACGAGACGACATGTTCAAGAGTGGTCTCGGTTCTGCGTCGCCGTCATCTTCAGAGGAAGGCTGGACATGCGCGGAAACGAGATCCCGGAGGCGGGGATGGAACCACATGAGACTCCACCAGTTCTTGAGCCGCCACGGTTTGAGGCCGTCGATGTAGGCGTTGTGGTGGATGCCTACGGGGACGACGCCGAAGAAGAAGTCTGTGTAGAGCGGCATGTGTCCCCAGGAGACTTTTGCAAGAGGGTCGGCAGCTGCAGTGATGTCTTTGTTATCTATGAGTTCCTTGGGGATGCTATTTATGCGTGGACCATCGGGAACCCCTGCTTTGAGGGATTCGGCGAGGACGGCGTTTGCATCGTCAAGCTGGACAAAGTAGCCGTCTTCTTCGGCGGAACAGGTTGCCGGAATAGTGGTGAAGTTGTAGTCCAGTCCGATGCCGAATTCGAACTGTTCGCCCGCGAGGGCCTTTGCAGCGATATCACGTACTTCCGGACTCAGAACCGTCAGATCATACGTCGAAGCGCTGCCGTTCCAGGAAGAAGAGAGCTGCTGCGTAACCCATTCGCGCCAAATCTCCTGCTCGCCGAGGACTTCCCCGAGGAGAGCCTGGTCGCTCCAGAGCTGTCTGCCACTGAGCGCCACGGCGGCAATCTTCTGCTTGCACCGGCGGAGGACTTGACGGAGGGAGGACATTGTTCCCATGATCATGCCGCTGTTGATGCATCTCGGGCGGACCTTTCTATACTTCCGGGCTGGGTCGAAGAGCAAAGGGAGGACGGTGTCTGTTTCGGGGCCGTAGAGCTCCTGCGGCATGGGGGACGGGGGCCAGTGGGCGTAGTGGGGGGAGGAGCCGGATTCGCTGTCTGGCTGGCAGTCTTTTGCGGTGGTGACGATGATGGATTGTTTGGGGGGTGGGAGAGGAAAGTTGGAGGAGGAAGAAGAAGAAGAAGAAGAAGATGCTGCTGCTTGCCATTGCTTCTGGAGGCGTTCGTTGGCTTCGTCGTTGAGCTGGTGGTATCGTCGTATGAGCACCGAGGGAGGCAGCTGGAACCAGATATCGTACGCGTCCACGAGAACAGCCAGGTCATCGTCGTCCGCGCCACCGTCAATGTCGTCACCATGGCTGAGCATCTCTTCGATGACGGCGAGCAGGCTCTCGAGCTTTGCGATGTGGCTGCCTGCAAAGTGCCACTCTGGGCGGTTGAACTCGCCGCTCCAGTTGAGCAGCGTGGGGAGGGGGAAGCCCAGGGCGACGGCGGACAGGATGCTCTTGCAGAGGTTAGGGTGCGGCGAGTCGGCGGGCATGAAGATCCGGAGACGACGGTTGCTGCCGGTGGTGGACTTTAGGGGGGTAGGGTTGAGGGCTGAGAGGGCTTCATGGGTGAGGATGCCGGATGATGGGGGGGTTTTGGTTGTGCCGTAGCGGAGTTGTGTTGAGGCGGACTGTGGACCTTGGTTAGATGATGGATTGAAAGTTGTGTGAGAGAGAGAGAGAGGAGGTTTGTGAGTTTACCAAGGCTGAGAAGAAGAGGCTGGTGGTGAGGATCACGAGGCATATGATTTGCCATATGGCGCCGTGGGAGAGTAAAAGGGAGCATCGTCGGTATGTAGAGGGCTTGGTAGAGGTGGGTTGGCTATGGTGTTTGTGTTTGGGTAGGACGTGGTATTCTTTGTGCGCTTGTTGAAATAAGTTGGCGCGTCTCATTTTCACAACTCGGTGTGTTGGTGAGATATTGGGACAAGCTTATAGAAGTCTTGGGAAACACCGCGCATGATACATGCTCGATATTTTGTCCCATTCACGACGATGCCAACCATGTGAAGACGATTGAATGTGGAATGGCGATATGAGTGATGTTGGTTATGATCTGTTGAAGGGTTCTCCTGGAAGCCGCAGCCTGTATGCACATGTTCTAGCCGATCATCTTCGACACTCTGTTCATGCACACAGAAACGTGGGTCTCTTATCGAGCCCCCGTGCCAGATCCAGCAGCGATGAACACAAACCCACTCAGGGGGGATGCAAAGACAATAGCGGTAAAAGAGACACGCATCATCGTGGGCTTGACTTTTGATTAGCTGAACGACTCATTGTATTTGTTGGGTTGCTACTAACCGGGGGCTTTTGATCGGTGCCGTCAAATCTGAGTTGACTCCGCGACTTTCGAACCAGGCGGTTCCAGGCGCGGGCTCTGTTCATTTTTTGGCACTACTCGCACGTGGGCGAGGATCGGCTTTTAAGGGGTCAAGCTTCCACAGCATCAACGTCATCTGCGGCTGGCTGGGGGCGGTTGACCGTTCTTTTACCCTCTCTTGAGTGGGCGTTGTTGATTTAAATGTGCCTCATTACTGTAAGTACGCACAGAGGAGTATGCGTGTGTGCATGATTTGCGCAGCTGGGTCACCGGGGTGATCTATGCCCCCCTTAGCTAGTAGAAGCTGATGAGAGGCGCGGTTCATCTACTCACTCGCTATCGTCCTACAAAGAGAGAGTTTAGTTTAAGTGCCTATTAGGTTATACTTAGGATATGATCAACTCTAGGCCGCTCACAAGAAGAGATATGAGGCTATCGTGACGAGCCACAGGTCCAACATCGTCCGCAACTTATACAGCTCATTTTTACCTTACGCCTCCGCCATGCCGGCACTGAAAACTCCTCCTCGCGGGTCCGGTGCTGTGTCGACTGCCGGATGGGACTTGCGGACATTTATCGCTTTTGGCATTGTTGGTGAGTGCTGTTCAATATTGCCTTGATGAAGATAGCCTGTCGTATTGACTGAGCCGTCACTTCATCGGCAACTGTATCTGAGTTGACACCAACCTGTGTTCTAGGCTTTGCAAATGCCATTCTTCCATACATCATCCTCTCCAGTCTCTATCTTATTATCACCTTTTCGCAACCCATCGTCTTGCTCATAGAGCTGTTTCCTGCTCTTGGCGTCAAGCTTCTCGTTCCTCACATCTTGCATTACACGCCACACTGGTTCTGGCTTCTTCTCCTCACAAGCTGCTGGATCCTGGCCACCATCGCTGCCAATGCCGCGCCGCCAAATGTCATCGCCCCTATCCGCCTCTTGATTGCGCTACTTGCTTCGGCCACTGCCGCAGTTGGTGAGGTCTTCTTTCTGAGCCGGCTGTCGCAGTACGGCAAGACGGCGCTGGCAGGATGGGGGACCGGGACAGCAGTGGGAGGTGCATTGCGCGCTGTGCTGCCGGTGCTGGTGACGGTCCGCATGGGCATCATGCTGCGTGATGCGACGGGTTATGCTTATTATCTGCTTGTGGCTTTGATGGTTGCTTATTTCCTGGTGCTTCCGTCACCTCGGAGTCACAGAGGAGAGAAGTGGCCAACTGAGATTGAGCTTGCCGCTGAAGACGACGCTGTCTCCGAGATGGGAAGCCAAAACTGTTCACTTCTGTCTGCAAAACCCTCCTCATACATCAGCTTCTGGGAGCGCTTCCGAAGTAATTTGCGGCTTCTGAGCAACAAGCTTCTCAGGCTATACATTGACCCTCTGCTACTCGTCACAGCCGCGCAAATCTTTGTGCTCTCGGGAACACCTCGTGCCAGCATGGTGCTGCAAAACTTCTCAGGCTATTCCACGTTTTTAGCTGCATACGGTCTAGCATTCCAGACTGGGAATGTTATAGCACGATCGACCGCTCTGCTGCTCCGAGCCAGAAGGCCAAGACTTGTCTTTGCCATGTTGGTAGCTTGCTCTCTGGCTGTGATTCTCAACACGGCACTAATGTTGAGCGAGAATGTGTACGTTGCTTTTGGCCTCGTGTCTGTTGTTGGGTGGTTAAGCGGCTTCATGTATATGAACATATTGGGTGCTGCCATGGAGTACTTGGGCAGGAATCCGGAGGCGGACGCTGAGTTTGCCTTGGGGAGTATTGGGGTTGGAGAGACTGTGGGAATACTCATTGGAGGGCTTGCTGGGGTTACGTTTGAGGCACAGCTGTGTGGGTTGGCGAGTCGGAACGGACGGTGGTGTTCTACTATCACATAGACGATTTATTCCAGTACCTCTGGTGATTGAGTTCACCTTCGAGGTCATTATACCATTAGGTAACTAAACACGGAATCACTCGATATATACGACATTAGTCTTCATTGATTTCAGTCCAGAGTGCTTCTATGTGTTTCTTAATTAGGATATGGAAGGCAATGTGTCTCATCACATGAACCTTGCAGTCGTAGGTGATATGGACCTGTCATTGGGCATACCGAGCTTTTAGTCTTCAATTCAAGATGCTGAAAACCATTCGACCACTGCTGGACCTCCCCAATTACCAATGCTGGAAGCTGAAGCGACCGGTTGGCGTTGATTCATATTGGAAATACTACGTTTTATCAAGTCCAAATCTGTCACACGTGTCCTAGCTGCTGTTGCCATTAAATATCGGTCCTGAGGGTATGATGTTGAGCTGGGCCTTGTCAGTCTACATGCTCACATAGTAGAACCTAAGATACATACTTAGCACTAAAATGGGATGCTATATCTCTTGTCGCATGGTGCTTCCATACCTGGCGTCTAAGGAAGCTAGAACGTGATAGCTAAGGTTGAACTGGTTTGCAAGGGGGGTAGATTGTGCGAGCCTGAGATGGTATCGCCACTCCAACAAGCAGATCTCTTACATCTAATTACAAGTCGTAGAAGCTTTTGGTGCTTCTTCCAAGACTGACACCAAGGTAGTACATATGGTAGCTTCATGGAGCCCTCTGATAGGACCGTGCAAACCGAGTTCCAATAGTTTCGTACCGGAATGTCTCATGGAGTGTTCATCCTTAGGGTTGAAACTACTATTCATCGACTTCTCGTCAACTCCACGACCAGTAGAGCGTTAAGCTGCAGAAGAACATTCTGAATGTATTATCAATCAACCTCATCTCTCTTCTACAGGACAAAATAATTATACAACTGCAAACCACGCATGGTTAGCTTGTATGGTCCCTTAACATCCCTCAGCAACTCAAGGTATCTTTTGCCCATCTGTAAATCCTATTTTGGATTTATTCTTACTTGAAGTTAGTCATCTCAGGTGTTATTCTCAATGCACCATGTATTCCTGGCTACTAGTCAGAAATAAATCTCGCCGTTCTGTGATTCAGGGGTCCATCTGAAGAGGACGTGAGTTTTCTCCTTGTACCCCTGCCTCAGTTTGATTCAAAGCCCAGAACCATCATAGTGGACATGATTGACTAACTCATCTTTATGATGACATGGTAACCCTGAATTACACCTCTGGTATGACGAGCCTCCCTGGATATCGATATTCTCGGATGACAGGCAAATTCCCAACCGGTATGCACACCCCATACTTTACCGTTCTGCAGGAAGGGCTCAACCAAGTATCTCGGTACTTGACACGTTTTCTTTGTCATTGCAGCTTTTTCGCGTCAGTTCCTTGATTCCTCCCACTCAAATGATACCCTACGCTGACAGTCGCCCGTTTGCTCGGAACCAGAGCGTCCGATTACACAGCCTCGCCGGTTGCCACGGCTTGGTAATGAGCAAATAGATTAACGATTACTGAGCCCCAATTCAAATGACGAGGTCTGAGATATCGTGGTTCAATCGGTGCCGTGGGATTTCGTGTCTCCGATCATAAGCTGATTTTGTCCGAGAGATCTCGGTAATGACATGGCTTTGCGGCTGCAAGATGATCGTAAGGAATACAGATGGTGGCTGCCTGACTCACCACCTACTGCTGGTATCTTGGACCTTCCAAGTATTGGAATAATGGACGATATTAAAGGCTTCAAAGACAATGTAGAGAGCGCCATAAAAATGCCTTCTATGTGCCAGATGGCCTTGCTGTAATTAAATGTCATTACCAATATATCTTTGCCTATGCCTATAATCAAATCGATACATCACTTTGACACCTCCTTGCCTTATATCCGGGGTCCTCAGCGGATACAACATATCCGTCCAAGGGGGTACCCAAGGCTGGAGGGCGTCCTGTACGTGTTGTATGCCGCTGACGCGGAACATGGTTTTGCCACGCAATAAAGCTAGGCAGCCAGAGGAAGGACGGGAGAGTCTCGGGATTCAAAAAGAGGTTCTCGGTGATCACATAAAATTGTATGATTCGAATGGCTTGCGAGACCTTCCATCAAAATGATATCAGATCGGCTCAATGCTAGGGGGGCAACCCGGTGTGGCATGACGACCCTGCGTTCCCACCGTTCGTATCCATAGTTACTCTAAATTTGGAGGTGCAATACTTTGCCTTTCCAATATTGGCGTGCCGTATCCCGAAACGACATGAAATGATACGCTGTTACGCCCTCTATCCCCGCCTGCGAAATCCTGCAATGGGGAGAAACTGTTAGCCAAAGGAATGAGAGCGGCCGCAGTATGTGCCAGATGCTGTACCTTGTTCCTTGACTCCAGCCCACGTTGACAGTTTCTTGGTTTTCAGGATCCTAATGATACTAACACCCATATGGTTATAATACTCAGTTCAGCTACGTCAAGTCGTTCTTACTGGTTACAAGATGAAGCAAGCCCATCCAGTCAAGACCATCTCACAAAGGATGAGCCTTGACCCGACGTTCCATTAAACTCGCCCCTAAAACTAACCGCTGCTACCCATGGGAAACGATTTTAGCTGCTTGATACAAGAAACAGCTAGATAAGGATGGTCAAGTAGAGATCGAGCAATGCATGCTCGGTAAGGAAAACAGAAAAAAGCTACGAAGTTGCCCGCAGAGGTAACCTAAAGGAGAAAGAGCAAGGTCTGCCCATGTGTATGGGGATGCATCGAATGCTGTACAGAGTATGGTGTTCCTCGGAAGTTAGCGGTGTTGTGCCTGGCTCGAGGAAAGCTTTTTCATATCTGTACACTGCCGTGCGGTTGTTGAACATCGTGTACCCCCCCTATGCTCGCACCTGAACTCCGAAAGCTGGTCAGCAACGCTGATATCTGCGGCTAAACGCCGAATCAATTGAAGAAAAGACCAAGGAACAGGTGAAGCAAAACTTGTTTTGGGGCCGTTCATCTTGCCCACGATGGGCTAGTAGAGGAGTTGTCAGCCTCAGAATGCTTTTTTTTCAAGGGCTGGCATTCCTTCTAGACGAGTTCCGTTGCATGTGCGTCGCCCCGTTGGGGCGGTCGCGTACTTCAGGCGAGCCCTTCCAATCTGGGGCAAGCTGTGCCAACCTACGCGTAAAAGGTTGCCTGCCCTAACGAGAGAAAACCCTTGGCATGGAGGCAAAAGGGGGGGAGATGGATGGATGGATGGGCATGGGATGGGCCATGTGTTTGTCCTTGGGCTACTTGTCGCAGATCTTTGCGGGGGATGGCTCCCACCACAAGGGGTCGTGGTTCGGTCCAAATCGTTGGCCGAACATGACAGGCAGGGGACAGTTGCCCCGAACGAACGGACAGGCCTCGAGATGGGGGAGGGGTGGAAAAAACGTACGACTTCGCATATCTTTGTATTTTAGCGGTCGGAGCAAATCTCTGCACATGCTTGTTGGCGGCTTCAGCCGTGTTCCGATTGGCGTCTAGGAGGAATTCATGACCTGGCTAATGCACTCGTCGGCAGCCCCGACGACGTGATGCCGTGCCAATACACCTCCGGGAAAGCTAGCCAACGGCCCCCAGAGTAGGCCATATACTATGCGGATGAGACTTGGCATCTCGCCAGTTGTCGACAGGCGCCGGCGCTATCATGTTTTTGTCGTGAATAGATCACTTGCTCACTTCGGGTCATGATGTAACGGCACTTCTGCGGACTCTCGTCGCCCCTCCTGCCATGGCCCCCCTCCCCCCTGCCGACTCCAAGTCCCCTAAAAGCATTCCAGCGGATTATTTTCCTTCTGGATTGCTGGGAAAACTCAACTAGTCAACCCGATCCTTGCATTGACTACTTTCAGCCTCGAAGGAGCACTACGATTCCTGCGAGCCTACGGGCTATGGCGATTCGACGGGCCAAGTGTTAGCTTCCAGCCTTACCCTCACCTTGCTTGGTGAGACAGAAGCCAAGCTTCGGCATTTATTCCTTGCACCCTGCTAAGTGGTAGGAAGCGTCAGATCGTTGATGGCGCTGGCGTGTCTTCGTGTAGGGCACTCCCACGTTAGCTCTGTTTCCTCGCCCAAGCAAGCTTTGATGCCTCGAGATATCATCATGAGTGATCGCCTCGTATAGGAGCGTAGGCCATCTATTTGGCGCGGCGTAAGCCAGCTCGCCAGTCTAACGGATTTGCGCCTAGCTGGTAGTTGATGCCAGGGCTCGCTCCGAATGATTATAGGGGCCCGTCTGGTTGCTGATCTCTTCAGCTGTATGGCAATGTAGCACTGGCGCGGGGAAGCTTCTGACATAGGGTACAACAAGCACTGTTCGACTGAACTCATCCCGGTCTTCTTCATTGCTACGCCCACACCGTCAGAGACCCTTTTCCAAGTTCCCGCGACAACAACCCAATCACGCCGTTCAACTTCTCACAGGGGGGCATCATAACCGAGCAGAAATAGAAACTGTGGCTCATGGATCATGCTTCCTTGGATATTACTTGTTTCTACTTTAACAGGGTAAGAGAAGTTTCTTGGCATATACAGCCATTGCGGGGATGAGTGAGGAAGCACTTCTTTGCCGTTCCTTGCTCATGCAGATATCCGCAACGAACCCGTCGTACTTGATCCATAGAACAAGACCCAACACTGCCAATAAAGCGGGAGGCCGCAGCCGTGGTTTCTTCATCAGGTAGTCCTCAGAACGGCTCTTAAGTGGACTTACAATAACTATCAATAAATCCGCATCAACTTCCCTGCAGTCTGCCGCCCAAGGACTTGCTGCTCTTTATCCGACTGTCAGAACTGGTAGCCCCACTCCTCTTATCCGGTCATCGCTGATTGGCCCATCCATCATGCGGATTTCCTAATTCGGTAATCTCCCACTTTGGGCATCTCGATATGAACGTTGGGCTTCTCTCTCTCTCTCACCACGGCCACTACCGACCAGATATATGACAATGGCGTAAGTCTCTTGCCCGGTGTATCTGTTGTAGCGGCGGTTATAAGCTGCAGGAGTGACCCCTGGTTGAAGGAAAGACTATATGCTGCGACTATATGTTGCCACTGCTGTTCAATGGCCCTTCTAGGACTCCCGGCCGGCCTCAGCGCCCGCACGAAACGGCTGCTTCATCTTGGCAGTCTCAAGTAGCAAGCAAAGCATAGTTATTCTTAGGCGGGGTCAAGCACCTGGTACCAGGTAGTATTGCAGACGATGTCATGGAGAAAGAGACAGGGGCAACCTTGAAACCGCATATGGCTGGGGGGGTTCTTATATGGCCGGAAGTCATGTATGGCCAGGACTTGGCAATTCCCATGGGCCCCAGTAACATGCCTTGTCATCGTAAGCTAGGTTTATACAGAAGACATGGACTGAAACAATCCCGCCATGTCAAGTCAAACGGCGTTTATCTGCAATGCTGGAGAAAATATATGGATACCCCATCTCATCGTAAGCCCGCAACTCCCCGCCTTGAAGCCCTGCCTTGTCAACGGAACCAAAACCGGCGTCTCAAAACTCCGTACCACAAGCGATATCCGACCACCATGTCGTCCAAGCATTCCCCCAGTCAGCAGCCCAAACGTCAACTTCAGCAGTTCCCATATCCCAGCATCTCACACACTCGAATGGCCACTCGCCGCACATCATCCACGTGTTCTCATCCCGCCTTCAGCCCCCCCTTTTCGCCACCGCAACCGCCCATCCAGCTTCTAAATTTCTTCACGAATCGCTAGTTCGAAGCACGCGAGAGATCCTTCTTTGGCTCACATGAACCTGCAAACAAGAATAGCACCTAGAAACAAGAAGCCTATAATTGGAATTGTGTCGTGCAGATCGCTTGGCTTCTTCAGACCCCGCAATCCGTTTGTAGAACGATTAGAGGTGGCTGACTCGCGAACCGTGATCTGTGTGCTACGTCTGACTTGCTTGTCGATGTACTTGTGACTTAGATGAGCTGCTTTTGTTGATAAAAATTGCTGAATACAATCTAGCCCATTGCCTATTTCCTCTAGCCAAAACAACTCCCCTCGAGCATTTCCATCACATATCAGCTCAATCTCCGTACATCTCCATTCCTCCCATTCCCTCCTTGGTTAGGTTACCAAAGCGCCAGTTTCACCACGTGAATCCAACAGAGCAGCCAAACAATTGAATAGAAGAAAACACAATCATGTAAACTCCAAAGATACCATTGCCATACCCAAAGGCCTGTATCATATAACCATTGCCGAAACACCATCCACCCTTTTACTCCTCAGCTCCAACTCCCCCATCCCCCTCCGGCTCAAACCCATAATCGTCCTCATACACATCCGAATCTTCCACCTGTGGCGTCCCCGCCCCGGACCTCTCCCGCATCGCGCTCAGCTCAGCCCGTATGTCCAGCAGGATCTCATTCTGTCGACGTATCAGCTCCGCGAGAGCATCCGTGCTCACGGCCGCGGCAGCCGCGGCAGCCGCAGACGTGGACCCTGCCGCTGACGGCGCCCTCCGCTTTGCCTCCCGGCGTGCAAGTAAGTTGTACTTGGTAGCCAAGTCTTCGTACTCTGGGACCTGTTCTTGGTTAAAAGCGGCAAGTAGCAGCGAGTGAGCTTGTTAGCAGAGGTCGATGACGAGGAGTAAGAGGAAGAGGCGGGGGGATTTCAACAACCAAGTTCATGCGTGGAGAAAGTAAGGAAACACTCGTTCAGAATCCCATCATCATCTTCTTCCTCGCAAAGCATGCACACTGATGCCGCTGAGCGTCTGGGACCATGAGTAGAGACTTGGAGGACAGGACAGGAATAGACTCGACCAGCAACTGATCCGTAATGAAACACTGACCTCCTCGCCCCGGGACACTTTGAGGGACGCAGCCGCAACGGCGCGCGCGGCGGGCTTGATTTTGCCATCTTTGTCTACAAGCAACTAACGTACAGGAGGTGTTCAGCAGGAGTTATTGTAAGCAAGCAGCAATGACGTCGATGGAGGGTAAAGCAGTTAAACGAGGTGGACGACAGCTGTAGACGGCTTGGAGGGACCACGTACGTCCTCGCACTTGTGGTGGCCGGCGACACAGTGAGAACACTTGGCGCTCTTCTCTAGATTTCAAGCGCCAGCCCAGGAATGCGGGCCTCGTGTCAGTCGTGAATACCAGGATGTCGATGGTGGCGGGATGCGGAGAGGATGCGCAAAGGGACACCCTCTCGGGAAAAGGAAGAACAAGGTAGCAGGAAACAGAAAGAAGAGGGTGGGAAACAGGGGAGACAGAAGACAAACGAACCACCCTGTCCACGGCAGACATGGCCGGGATTCTTGACCATGCGTCCGGCGCAGGGTCGACACGGCGTAGCCCAGACAGGGCCTTTCTTCTAACTCAAACAAGTATCTGGTTAGGTATTGAACAGGACCGACAACCGCGATTCGTTGTGAGTAGGAAAGGGCTTCAACTCACAGCTGGAGGCTCGGGGGACGTATTGGACGTTTTCCGGCGCGGCATCTATTAGAGGATCCCGACGTTACCCCAGGTTGCTCCAAGGGGTTATGCTGTCAGACGGACGAGGACGGCTGCGCGCAACTCACCACTAGCAACGATGTCTGCGACGAGGGGACGTCGACGGCAAAGTAACGGAGAAAAAAACAACTGTTTTTCCAGGACAAGCCTGGTGCCACACTCGTCGTACACGCACGCCCTCGGGGATCCGCTTCCTTCGGGGCGTTGGAGGTGCAAGTTGGTGTGGGCGAGAGCCTCGACAATTGGAGTGAGTTGATGTCCAAAAGTCCGGAACAAATACTTCAACGGCGACCGGAGACCACCGTTGCTCGAAGGGTGTTTGATGACGAAAGCGAGGGCGCCTATGACGGCAGTGTGTGTCTAGAGATGTCGATACTCCCACAGTCTGGTCGGTTGCCGAGGGTTGTTGAGCCAGAATAGGATCGTGTAGATGTATATAATCTCAAGTCTCCGTAATGGCGAGGGAATGGGTCGTCTCCACACCATCGGGGTGGCCAAGGGGTCAAGTATGAGTGCGGATGACACGCAGGTCCCCAGATTCGGGCTGGGAAACTGACAGGGACGTCGGAATGGATATCGTATATCCTGATGAGAACAGACACTTCCGCCCGCGGAAGTTGAAAACGAAACAAAGTGAAGAACAGACGGGCTATAGAGCTTGCGAAGCTGCTCCCGCGGTCTTGGAGTCTCAAAGTCAAGGACACCTACAGCTGCCGCCTGAGGCCGGTACGCGCGCCACCCTCAATGCCCTCTCTTCTGGGTGCCGGCGTGCGATACAGCCTTGACCCGCTCCGGAGACGCTGCGGCTGCGGAGATGGAGGGGGGCAAAGGACAGAACGTGGGCTTACCCGCGGCCCCCCCAACTGCATCTCCGTTGCAGCCCCTCAGAGCTCCAATAAGCCCTGCACGCACGACACCACCTCTCGGCGGAAGACTTGCCAGCTTCAGTAGTCGAGAAAAATGTTCCGGTCTCGTGAAGTTAGTCAAGGCTAGCAGTAAGGCTGAATGCTGGCCGCACGAGGGCAGGGTGTAAGTCCGCGTTTGGGCTGAGCGCCCAGTCTCAGGCCGGCTTCGTGCCCGACAAAACAGATGAAGGCACTTCAACTGTGTCGAAATTTCGAGGACAGTTCTGGAACACAACCAAACCTTTATTCGCGTGAAAAGAAAAGCCAAAGCCATCGATAAAGAGGGAATTCGAACAAGAAGAAGTAGGCCATCTCAACCAAAGGATGGGGAGGGGAAGTCTCTGGAGACAAGGCTTGCTATGAGCCTGAAACGCACATTGGTCGGATCGAGGCGCTCAAGCCTCGCCGATGAAACGTCAAGCTACAGCCGAGCTTAGTAGTAGGCGTCGACTTAGGTGAGAATCTTGCGAGGCCGGGAAGGATGCCTGTGCCGACATCGCACACCAATTCTTACGCATGAGCACCCTTGTTGCGCCTTCGATCCGTCCTTTAATCAGGAGGAAGGAAAAGCCCATTGCGTTTATTTGGGTTGATAGTCTTCTTTACCTGATAATTTTGTCGTTTCCACTCGCTCACATTATCATCATCTTTGCCCTTGGCTTGGTTCAGGTAGCTCTGAACTCACTGTAGGTCACCTCCCAGCTCTCTAAAGCACATTTCGCATTGACTCGTAAAATGAACAGAACCTCCTCCTGTTAGTGATCGGCAAGGAGGATTCGAGCCATACAGTAGTAGCTGAATCTGTAGTAATATCGTTTTCATCACGAAAGAGCAGCTCCAAAAAGGAGGGCAGACTGCATGAGGCGCTGGGCTTGAACTCTCTCTCCCATAGACTTACCATACAACGTAGCACTGGTGACTTTCCTCGTAGATTGCTTCCAACTAAGCCAAAGGAGCATCAGAGGCCCTCTGCCAGGACTAGCTCGCAGTGAAGGGAATTTGGCCGTGTATTCCTCCTAGGTAGAGAACATGGAAGAATACGCAGGGCCAGCTCCTCAGTGTGCTCGATGATGGCCATAAAAAAAGCCTGGTTTAATTGAGACATAAAGGCAGTCAATCGACAGCCCACGCTTGCTGTTCGGCGATATGTTTCATCCAAGACGGCGATATTGGCGGACTCGACGTTCATCGGCGGAACTCTGCCGAGAGCGGCAGAAGCCTGCATCTCAGCTGAGTTGGTGTGCTCTCCCTGCTTGAGACCTGATATGTGACAAGTAAGAAAAGACGCAAATTACCTCACCGAGTTCGCAACCCCCACAGCTCGTAGTAAGACACGGTGACAGTCGAAGCGGCTGCCGTCGGTACACGAGGGGCCAAGGACTATGTTCTGATGCCGCAGTCGCGAAGCCAATGCGAAAAGTCTTGCAAGGCGCTGGCCGCCAGTTGCTTTAGAACGGCTTGGAATCAGCTTGTTTAACCCAATGCAGGGAAGAAAACCCTGAAGACTGCGGCAGAAGATCCTACGGAGAAACTGAACGCACCTTGTGAACGCCACTGGAGAAACGCTAGCACGCCCAGTTGCTGCCTCGCACTTGTGATTGGAAGCTGTCAGTCTTGTAGAGCGGCATTCCCTTGGTGACAAGCAAGCCAAGGGAGGCTTGATAGGTAATAATACTACTACTCGTGTTGCTCGTAATAGTATATACGTGTGGGATCCCCTGCTAGCGCTTCCCTCGGCAGCCCATATCGAACTGCACAGTAGTATCGGGATCTGCGACGGCTCGCGGACAAGTGCCGATCACTTATACCATCTGTAGCCATCTTAATCTCGAGCTTGTTCGCTTAGCCCACGAGTGTGAATGCTACATACCTATGGGCTATGTATTAGGGCGTAACCGGGCCGTGTCTTGGGCTTTTCAGCCTGCGTGCTACAAAGTAACAAGTACTGTAGTATGCGACGGGGGTCGGTATTGAGAGAAGAAAAGCGCCTGACACGAGGTGGACTTGGCAGACAAGACATGACGGCTTCGCGGGATGGCTTCAAGGGCATGAGAAGAGTTGGATGCGCTAATGCGACTCGTCTCCTTTCAGCAGCAAGTGCCGTCGATCATCTACACGGATAGCCACATTCCACGAGGCTGTCAGCTTCGTCGCCCGTTGATGAGACGGGGCACAGCCAAACAAGCGTGCAGTTCACAAGGGCTCTGGCAAGGCACGTCATATGAGGCTGTCAGCGGGAACAGGAACCATGACTATCGATGTACCTACTCGATAGGTCTATAGCAGCGATCCCGTGCCTCGACTATACTGTCCTCATTGACCATGATGGCTAGGCGGAAAGAGGCGGCGTTTGGGGGGGCTGAGCGTCTTCCCGCCTTCTTACGTCAGTATCGAGTTGGCATCTGTGCTTTGACGCAAGGACTTCTTGGTACTGCAGCATGTATTAGTATGTGCTTTGATGCCTTGCGGATCTATTAGTACTTTCGAGGCTGATCGGCACTCGAGCTGAAGGGAGAGAGAACCTACAAGTACAAGCCGTGTTTCCCAGATTTTGCCTCGATAATGTGTGCACGTCGAAGACAAACTGCCCCAGGAAGAGAGAGTATAGTCGGGCATACTATCTCGTGTTAGTTCTCAGCCCTTCAGGCACCAGAACCCAAGCGCCATCCTCTTAACACACAAACTGTCAGGGTGCTGACCACCAGCTTTTGCTCACCCCACGGCGTTGCGCAGTAGCGTCGGGGATCGGTTGGGCCGAACCAAGGATGGGTGGAGAGGGTCTTGAACCTCCATCCAGGCTTCTTGTACGCGAGAGTGGTGTTGAAACACAGCTGGACCGAGATTGGGTGTGTGGAAGAAGAGGACAGAAGACGCGGTACGGCATAGAGTGACCTCAGGTAGGCTCTCCTTGTGCTCGGGCGTAAACATGGTCCTGGGGCATCGACAAAGGGGAACTGCAAGTATACGCCCACAGCAACCACAGCTGCTGGAACCCTTCCAACTGAAGGAGACCGTCTGCGTCATAGTATCAGAGCCTTGCAATCGGCCATCTGTACCTGGGTACTATCTTCAGGGATCTCTCCATGCGAAAGGTACCTAGGTAATATTGAGTGGCCCCGGCGAGTTCTCGCTCTTTTCAATGCAAGTGAGCATCCGGCTCAGAATGCCATTGCTCCCACCAGGCCTGTTGTTACCCCAGTACTTAGACGGACTTGGTACTCCGCACGCTGAACTTGTCGAAAATAAACTCCAGACATCGGCGATAAAACCAAGGGACCTGGGGCTTGGGGTAGGTACACATCAACTGTGGGTGCGTGTACCCTGTAATAGAAAGCCTCGACTCCTCCAGTAGTTTTTGAGAACCTGCGCATGTGAGCTCGTCCTTGGCTGCCTTCCTCTCCCAGCAAACCAGCGTCACCTTCGGCTCTCGCGCCCCGGTTTCGTCAACAATCACATACTGAGCCCGTCATGTTGGCTTCAGGCTCAATCAATGGCATTGACACCTGAAACAGAGAGATCTAGCATCATATGTCTGGTCTTTGCAGCACATCCCAAGTCTCCCTATGGCATCGCTCGGTACAATTTCACTCATTGGTTCTGTATACGAGCAACACCGCAGATAGGTATTTACACAAACGACGCCAGATGTGAATCAGATTATCTAGGTAGCTCCCTAGCCTCGTAGATCCTCACACAAGACACGGCTGTTTCCGCGTAGGACAGAAATGCGGAGGCTATATTCCGTCGAGCCAAGACAACGGGTGTTGCACCATCATCAAGGTTCTTGGAAGCCGCAGATCAGTTTAGCAGCCCAGGGTAGCACCAACCCGTGGGAAGAATCGGTCGTACGTGAACCTGAATGGTTACAGGCGGCAATTTAAGCAATTCGTAAACGCCGCCGCTGT